ATACAAATGGGTGAGCACATATGTGCGTACGTGTGAAACGTGTGAAACGTGTCAACAAGTGAAACCCTCTCCCCATTAGGCGGCGCCGCTGGCTAGTTTTCCTGCTCCCACTGGGTGTTAGGAGTCCATTAGTATGGATTTTGTGTTTGGCCTACCAAAATATTCGTAGGGAACCACAGGTATTGTGGCCTTTGTTGACCGTTTGAGCAAGATGGCTCACTTAGCGGCTGTGCCGGACTCGATCGACGGTGTGGGTACAGCGGAGCTGTTTATCGATCGGGTGTTTCGCCAACATGGATTGCCAGTGTCAATTGTCTCTGACCGTGATCAACGTTTCACGGGTAAGTTTTGGAAGTCCGTCTTCCAGGTACTGGGCACCCGTTTGGACATGTCCACGGCGGATCATCCGCAGACCGATGGTCAAACCGAACGCGTAAATCGCGTTGTTGAAGATATTCTCCGCAGCGTCTGTGCTGAAATGCCTAAGCGAGGGAGCGCTATGCTCCCTGTTGTTGAGTTTGCACTCAATAACTCTGTGCACGCCTCTACCGGCTACACTCCGTTCTATGTCAATGGCCTAACACACCCACGCATTCCGTTGACGCTACCACCGAGTGGTAATAGCGTTTGGTGGAGTAGAGGTTGCCGATCGGCGTGCTGATGTCAGCCCTATCACTGTTAAGAAGCAGGTGAGCGCGTTTCTCGCAACGCGACTAAATGTCTTGCGACACGTGCGTGACGTAATGGCTGATAGCCAAGATAAACAAAAATAATATGCTTATGCTAAAAAGGCAGAAGTTTTATTGATTGTTATGAGGTCCGGGACCAAGTATTACTTAATGCTAAAAACCTACCTACTAAAGTAGTGTCTGCTATCTCTAAGAAAAAGGTGCGTCCGCGCTTCATCGGACCCTTTACGGTCATTGCCAAGAAATGCATAGCGTATACGCTCAATCTGCCGCGCAAGTTGCGTACACACCCCGTGTTCTACGTCGGCATGCTCAAGGCATATCAGGATCCGTCCCACGTGAATGCTAAGGCGCTTGCGCCGAGATAGTCGGCACTGCCGCAGGACGTATCATTTACACTAAGATTCCAAGCTGCCCCTCCACTCGGTTCCGGCTATGCTCCAACGAATGGAGGCAAGTCTAAATCTGCTGCACGGTCTCACGGAGACAATTCACCTCCTGGAGTAGCTCAGCATGAGCTTGTGCCGATACACTGGCCTCCACCGACATCGCTCGATGAACAGGGGGACCTTCAGTTCCATGGGGAACGGCTTCTTCAGAAGTGTCGTCGCCACGGTCAAAACCAGTATCTGGTGATGTGTCGGGGATAACCCGAGTCGTGGACCTCATGGGAATATAAGGTTCCCCTACGGCAGGATTGCCTGTAAGTCGTGGACGTTTTTGAACGTCGTGCGAAGGGTAAACCTGTTGGAGATGGTGCTTCTCAACCGTAGTGGTGAGGATAGGAGAGCTCACGGCCTTTTCCTGACGTGAAACCGCGTCTATAGGTGTAGCCAAAACTTTTAAGTGCTGCGTAGCAGTCGCATACTGCGTTCGTTGTAACCTCAACTCGCCTCGGACCTTCAGTTTGGCGTAATCGTAACGCATTTTCTGTTCGAGACGGACATCTGCACGTCGGCACTTGCTCGTAGAGCTCACATGCTGCTTAAATGTCTCGCATAGTCTTCTTAGCGTCTAAAAGCCTCATCCTCTTCCTCCTCGGTTTCTGCCGCGAATAGAGGGATGGAAACAACCTTTATGGGAGGATCTGGTGCACCAAGTGAGGCGTGCCAAGTATTGGCTTTGCGTGGTAGGGTGAGGTTCCTGATACCGCTTTCGAAGGGTCGTTTGCGTAGCGAAATCCTCAGGCGAATTGGCCTTAGGCCAAATGGCCCAGCCAGATAGGGACTGGCCATATACCTCCTCAAGGCGCTTTCCACAGAAAGTGACTTAAACTTATACTGTCGGTGGCACTGAAGCCTAGCCATATTGTTCGACCGGCGCCTTGCGCCTTCCTCTTGGTAAATAGTTTGTTGCTGCTATTCGTCGAGCGGGTTGGTAATTCTCGCCGTTAACGTTACGCCAGGCGGGTCACGTAACGCTATTAGCACATCCACAGCACCACGTCAGGGAACGAATTCGGTGTCATCTTCACACTCTAGTGTACCCATCGGGACACAAGAAGACAGTGTCACTTTCTTAAACAACCGCTTCGTCAAGATTTTTTCCAAAAAAATCTTGAAGAGTCTGTGCCTCAGTCCCGAGAGGCGTCATTTGTGCCGTGAACCAATCGTGAGGTTTAACGTACTACCTCTAAAGGAAAGGTGTCGAATGGAATTCAATGGGAACGTCAGTATGGTGGGGGATAGTGTAAGGGTTATGCGACGGTTGTAACATCATACTGAAAGTACATTACGGTTGAAGTTCTATACTGCATATAATGTATTCTTAATACCGATCCTATTAGAAAGGGGTACTATAGATGCGTGATATAATAAGGTAGTAGTAATACCTTATACTATCGGCATCAGTTTCATAATTGATACAGTAGTACTAAGTACAACATGCACTGATGATTAGATGATTCCATATCCAGATACAGACGATGGCATACTATAGTACTATAATAGTAATTAATCTAGTGTAGGGTACTTAGAGAAGGATTATGCACATGATCTGAATGCATATATAAAATCAGGTCTCATTCTGAGTTAAAAGATCTCTTGTCTCTTTAATACTTTTTCTCGTGTGCACTTCGTGCGTTGGTGCCTCGAACCTTTAAGCTCTTAGCTTGTTCTTTCACTCTGTGCGTTGGTTCTCTGATTCCTTAAGCTCATTACTTGTAGACTAATATTCCATCCCTCCTAGTTCCGTAAAACAGAGTACCTTCGTAGTCGCTCAATTAATTTCTTATAACTAAGTGGCTTTTAGCCGACAACTTTTAGTTAGTTTTAAGAGCTACCAGGTTTTCAGCCTTTGGAGTTTTCCTCTGACTAAAGAGCTGTGTAGCTCCGCTACACAGGGCGTTGTGTACACCAACTCCACCAGCATGGACAAGGCTGACAAGAAGACATTGCACCTCGATGGCTACTATGACTCAGGGGTCGATAACGATCCTAGTTACACAAAGAGTATTACCAGATACATTATAAATCTCACAGGAGGTGCAATTTCGTGGGTGTGAAGGCGACAAACAATAATTGCACAGTTCACTGCCGAGGCCGGGTATGTTGCCGGCTTGTAATTTCTGCATGATTACCCGAAGTCTGATGAACATGCTACGTGAAGTGATGTCTGAACTGAGATTTTATTTACGCTTGGATTTGACATATCAACAGACTTTGTGATGGTAACTAATTCTACTTATCGTCGACGCATCGAGATCTGTTGGCACTATTTGCGTGATCAAGCTGCAAAAACACCATAAATCTATAAAAAAAATTGTACAAATGACTATCGTCGGACATGTGTACAAAGCCACTTGCGGGAAAGCGTATTGAAAAGCTTTGCGTGCAATTAGGTCAAAACAAGATCCATCAACGAAGACGTGACTCTGAAGGGGGGCGTGTTGGAAATAGCACCCATTTTATGTGAAGCTGGCTATGCATTTGAAGTTGATGTGGCCGTAAATGAAGAAATGTTTCTATTATCAAACCTAGCGCTACGTCCCAGCGCAGCTTTTCACCCAAGTCGCCAACGTTCTCATGCGCGATAGCACCTTGCATGCTAGTCTAAGTTTTTCCTTTTGTTGAGCAAGTTGACTCCTTTGCTATTGCGATTATTTCAGTGCTCACTGCGCTGGTTTAGTTTCCTTTGCCTCTTTGTGTAAGTGATATATCGAGATATCTACTTATACTGTAATCAGTTCAGGTAGACTATATGGTATCAGTATAGTCGGAGGGTGCTCCTTTGCATCTATATTGATACGATGATGCATACGGTGGAGTAAGTGTGCGCTTGGGTTTGGTCCAATGAGGTTCAACATATGCAGCACTTCGATCGTTTTCTACTTAGCTGGGAAAACATACGAAGAAAGCGGCCAATGTAGTAATATCCATTTTGCGGATGAGACTTCCAGTGGATCAATGATAGTCAATTATTAATACGTGGTGTGTAGCGGAGCTGCACAGCTCTTTAGCCAGAGGAAGACTTTCGGCTGGAAGCCTCTTAGTTCTAGAGAACTAAATAGAGTTAAGGCTAAAAGCCACTTAGTTCTAAGGAACTAATTAAACGACTTTAAAGCCGCCCTCTTCTAAGGAAGTAGGAAAGAGACTTTTAATCAATCAAGCAATATGCTTAAGGTTCAGAGAACCAACGCACATAGTGCAGAACAAGCTAGAAGCTTAGGGGTTCAGAGAACCAACGCACGAAGTGCACAAGAGAGCAAGTCAGAACGACTTGCGATCTTAAGCTCAAAAGGAGAACTGATTTTATTTATGCTTTAAGATTTTATGAATAGTCCTACTCTAAGTACACTACACTAGAATAATTACTATAATAGTAATTATTATATGCAGACTTTGCTATTGGACGACGTATCGTCTAAACATCTGTGTATGATGTACTTAATACAGCGTTAGTGATTTATCGAATCCCAATCGATAAGATACGGTATTTTACCGAATACCGTATTATAACGCTCATACTTAATACCTCTCTAACGAGAAGTATAATAATGCATTATATGCAATACAAAGGAGAGTTTAAGCGTAAACTCTCGGAAAGACGCTACCACGTGGTGTAACCCCGTTACATGGTGTCTACTGTTTGAACTGGTAGCATTTGAAGTATATGATATTAGTGCAAAGTACTATTTCATGAGATAATACCGAATAGAGCTTTCAATTGGTTTCTAAATTACTATACTTTTTCGGCTTACTTCATGCAAGTTAGTATGCGACGTGCTATGCGCCATTTTTCGGATACTCATACTATAGCCAAGTCATAACCTATCAGTGGTAACGTCCACACCCATTCAAATTAATATCTATCATGGCCATCCCAACTAAAGCTGCTGTGTTCGTGTCTGCAGCCCCGTGCTTCGAAGCCTTCCGCGATGTGGAAGTATTGTCACAAACTGAAAGTACTTCTCCAAAGTTCATTGGTACGCATAATGGCACGTTCCATTGCGATGAGGCATTGGCTGTATCAATGCTTAAACTTTTGCCCAAATTTGCGGCCCACGGCGTACTGCGCACACGTGACGAGGCAAAACTTGCTCAATGTGAGGTGGTTGTAGACGTGGGTGGTACCTACGATCCAGAGACGCTTCGTTTTGACCATCACCAGCGCAGCTTCACGGATACTTTTGACCAATGTGACATTAAGTTGTCAAGTGCTGGTCTCGTGTACAAGCATTTCGGTCGTGAGATCATTCAAAGGCTGGCTTATCCCACAAAGTTGGACGACGAGACGCTGGATATTCTGTATCGAAAAGCATACAAGAATTTTATCGAGCACATTGATGGCATCGATAATGGTGTCGAGGTGGCAAGTGCTGGTGATGCTAAGCTCAAACATAACTATCAGGTGTCGACAACCCTTAGCAGTCGTGTGAGTTACTTGAACCCCCGCTGGAATGAATCCCAGGATGAGCAGTGGATGAGCAGACAATTCAAGCAAGCCATGTACTTGACAATCACCGAGTTTACGGATGCTATCCACGATCTCGTGTACTCGTGGCTACCGGCTCGCGAGATCGTTGAAAAAGCGGTTGCCAATCGCTTTGAGACTCACAAGTCCGGTGAAATTGTCCATTTTCCTAAATTCTGTCCATGGAAGTCTCATTTATTTGACCTGGAAGAGAAACTTCTGATCCAAGGCCAAATCAAGTTTGTGCTTTACAATGACCTAACGGGTAATATGACTCGTGTGCAGGCACTCAATGTTGAGCCAGGATCGTTTGCACTGCGCAAAGGACTGCTGCCACTTTGGCGCAGTCTGCGTAATGAAGAATTGTCGTGTGTGTCTGGTATTGAAGGATGTACGTTTGTACACAACGCTGGATTCATTGGGGGTAATCGCACATTCAAAGGTGCACTTGAAATGGCCGTCAAGTCGATTGAAGCTACGGATGAAGAGACCAAGTAAACGCATGACAGAAGCCCTTCGCTAAACGTAAAAGCATATTTTTCGACGTTAAAACTGATTTTATGTTGCTTGTATAATTGTGATTATTGTTTCTATATTTATGTTGCTGGAAGAAAATAGAGAAAATACCACCCATTTTGAGACTTTTCAAGTGCCGAAAAAAGTTTGGTAGACATTATGTCAGAAGAAGGAAGTGAACCGACGAGCATCGGTACGACCTTATATACCTTACAAGTAGAGCGGGGCAATGAGCTCGGTAGGCTGCGTGTGTCACACAAAAGCTTCGTATGCGGTCCTTACTGTTTCAAATACAGAGCGGCAAGATTTACGAATATATTATAACCTCTCATACTTTATATTTTTATGTAACCCATTCAATTATTGCAGGTAAAGCACAGGTACCATCCCAGAAGCCCATAGTACGTGGTAGATACGCCAAATTTAATGGAGCGATGGACGTGATGTTACTAGAGGCGTTACAAGTTAATAACCCGTTCACGGCTAAGCACGGGACGAGACTTCAGATGTGGCAAAATGTGGCTGAATCCGTCGGGATCCAAGGGTTTAAAAACCCAGCAGCTTTTTCATGGCACACATGTCGGTGGGTTTTTTTGATTCAAATTCAGTTTTTTTTGAAATTTATGATTTTTCGAATTGGTTGATACTGCTGTGTTAATAACCTGTCATATCTTATATATACCTACTACTTGTAGTGATCGCGTGACGGCGCTCATGAAAATGTATACTGATGGTAAACACGACAAACTATTTAAACACGGGACAATGGAAGAAAATTCTCGGAAGGAGACTATTTTACGTGAGATCAACGACACATTGATTAGAAAGAATCACAAGATGGCAGGACAGATGACGGTTGATGGTAATGGCAAAGAGACGACTATTGGGACTAAAAGTGAAAGTGGAGAGCTCCATCCTTCGTCTACTTCATCATCTCCGACATTACCGCAGAAACGGCAGAAATTGGACACTCCTTTGGATGTGAAAACCATTTCTGTTGCATCATCCGATGTCCAATCCAGTAGTAATAGTGATAACTTCCGCACACGAATTTTAGAGCTGATTGAGAGAAAGATTCAGTTTGATATGGATCAGCGTCAGAAGGAGACGGAACTTCGGGAACAGGAATTTGAGCTGCAGAAGCGGTTTCTCGAGTATTTACAGTCGAAATAGGGTGGCGGGGACGGATCTCAAGGTGATATCGAGCGATGAAGCTTAAGCGGCAAAAGGGACGAAAATGAGCTGACAAGTCGCTGGAATCTCGATGCATGCCCTCGTACTGAAGGGTAACGCAGCAGAGATGGATCGCTTTTTCAATGAAAATATCTGTTTATTTGTGGCATCAGGTTTTTAGATACTGCTGCTATGATGCGTGTCTAGTCGACAGCTTTGCAGCCTCCTGATTGTCATTTAAAGTCACCTTTACGTCATGAAGAATGCAAGATATACTCCTCATGCTCAGTATCTTCATCTTCACTCGTCAGCTATTGTAGCCATCTATATATTCCCATCCTGTGGTGTACATTCACTGCTCAGCATTTGAATAATCGAGACAATGGCAGCACTACCAGTGATTACTATGGCATACGACTGCGACGTGTACGAACCAGCTGAAGACACTTTTCTATTCGTAGATGCATTGCAAGATGAATTGCCTCAATTAGTGCCACTAGATCCTACAATCTGCGTCGAAATTGGGTGCGTGATGGACACAAATCTTATATCGGATGGCTGCAAATGCATTGACAAACAACTCCTTCCATACAGATGTGGTAGTGGTGCAGTGTTTGTGTATTTGGCGACACAATTGCAGAAATGGGGGACACAGTCGCTGTTTCTAGCAACAGATATTAATCCATTGGCGGCGAATGTTGCGCAACAAACGGCAATGAAGAACGAAACTCAAATGTTTGATATTGTACGCACAGACTTGTTGCAATGCTTCGAGCCACGGATAGAGGTAGTAAGCATAGTCGACAGCAATATCTCTGCCTTTTTACTAGTAACTTACCAAGTGCTGTTGTGAGGTAGGGCTTAGTTGATGTTCTATTGTTCAACCCACCGTACGTGCCGACTCCGTCGGAGGAAGTCGGATCGATGTACGTTTTGCTTAAACTACTTCGTTAAGGCAATGAAGTGACATAGAGATTGTTTGACAGAGGCATTGAAGCTGCGTGGGCGGGAGGTCTTCATGGACGTGAAGTGATTGATCGTTTGCTGCCGAAACTCAAGACTTTGTTGTCTCCTCGTGGTGTATTCTACATGGTTGTAGTTGTAGAGAACAGACCCAACGAGATCGCTGCAATTCTGTCCATGGACGGATTTGAAATGACGGTGCGTTCTATTGCTCTCAATAATACATTTATTGTATGCAACAGCTTCACCAATATTTATGAATGTCGACCTGTATGTCTTACAAGGTCGTTCGCTCAACTAAAGCTAAGAATGAGCGGCTATCGATTCTAAAGTTTACAAGAACGCTGATGTAATCACAAAGGAGCAAAACCCATTCGTTAGGAACTTCACTCATCGAAGTCGTGATAATAAAAGTCGATGAACCTTGTCAAGATCCCCATCATCGGATGCCTAACTTGTTGAAGATCCGTGTCTCGTGTAGTAGTAGCGCACTTAAGGCTCAACTAAAAAGCATCGAAGTGCTAAAAGCCTCAATACCTTTTGATCCATTAAATGACTTTACTACGCGTAGTAAACCGGTTCATAGTCTGTCTGCGTGTGTACAAAATCTTGAAGCTTTTGATGATACTAGTCATGAACCTTCCGGCCAATATACTTGTTGTCACTCTGTACCAAACAATGCGAGATCATTCAATACTCGATTTACATTGCTAGTGCTGTAATAATCATCTATGCGCTTCGATAGAGAATTTATATGTCTGCTCTTCTATTTGCAATGCTAGTTGATAACATGAACAACGGGGTCGTTTCAATAATTAGTCAATAGGCTATTTAGAAGCTAGTACATAATTTTTTCCAAGTAGCACGAACGCGTAGCCCAAAGTCGACTTGCGATCAGCTTGGTTGCCCGCTCAGTCCGCATCAGAGTAACCACAAACGTCGATCTTGCGCTTTGACTGATCGCAGATTTCGTTCAATCTAGCAAAGTGTAGAATATTTACTTTACTATGTTCTTTACTACAATTTACTTTCTAGTTGGTGGCTCTCCACAAAGCGTGACACAGAGATCACAGCATACGCGATAGATGGGTATGTCCCAGTTTATCAAATGCTTTAAGCACTCATTGCTTCCTAAAACGAAGTATTCATCTTGATTACATTGGGACTAGTCGAGAGCTCAAATTTAGAATTTTTTAAATATATGAATAAATATCTTTTTATGTTGCCTACACAACATTTCCTACCAGTCATGACGAGCTCTGCTCTGCGTCGTCTCCAGAGTGACACCCAGGACTTTTGGGCTCCATTGCATTCGATTCGTCGTGTTGATGCATCGTCTTTAACGCCTCTACAATTTTATCGAGACTTTATAAGTCGCAATGTACCTGTCGTGTTGTTGAACGTGATGACGTCATCATCGTGGCGACATGCCGTTGTCAATTGGCAGAATGACGAACACCTCGTCACCAAAGCGGGGGACCGTCCGGTGACTGTAGACGTGACACCCTTTGGTGTCGGTGACGCGGTACTCGAGTTCCCGGACCATCACCAAGAGATATTCGTGATGCCTGAAGAGAGAGACATGAAATTATCAGAATTTATGAAACTGCTGAAAAACCGTGACAACTTCGATGGGGTTCCCTATCTTTCACATCAAAATGATAGTTTACGAAACCAACTTCCAGGTTTATTCAATGAAGTGCCATCAGCTATAAAATTAGCAGTAGAAGCTTTTGGGAATGAACCGGAAGCTGTAAATATCTGGATTGGGGACGAGAGAGCAATGTCGACAATGCACAAAGATCATTATGAGGTGAGATTTGTAGAATAGGAGGTATCTGAATTTCTTTGAGAGATCTGAAGGTGTGATAATGTATGGCAGAACATGTACTGTGTGGCCAAAGGTCAAAAGCACTTTACCCTGTTGCCACCATCGGCCGTGGGATGTCTGTATGAACGGGAGTTTTCGTCAGCAAGATATCGTCACGCGGACTCACCTGTTCCCGATGAAAAAGAAAAACTAGTGAGAGATGTTGTTGCTACTGAACGTTTTCATGTAAAATATCCTCAACATAAGAAGTGGACAATTTGGTCGTCGCTTGATAAGGGGAATACTCCGTGGATTCCAGTGGATCCGTTAAACATTGATACGGAGAGGTATCCATTGGCTGAAGCGCTAAAGCCCATCGATGTGGTGATAAATTCTGGAGAAGTACTGTACTTGCCGTCGTTATGGTATCACCGTGCTACGCAATTGTGTCCTACCATATCGGTCAATTACTGGCACGACATGGAGTTCGACTGTCGTTATGTGTACTTTAACTTTGTGCATGATATCGGAGCCGTGATCATGAAGTTGGAGGATCATGAACAAGAGGCAGAAGAAAAAAGAAAAGTCTATAGTTTTTCACGGTAGCCTACGTGACGCAGTATTCTTGACATCCACGCACTTGCCAGTACTAGAACTACGATCTACATTGACGCCGTGCTTTCCGTACGCTCGTTATATTCTCAGGTCTCCTGATTGCAGATCAACAGTACGCGCTGACAAGTTCTTAACCTCTAATTCATATCTTAGACAGAACCTATTGCTGTATAATCCAGTCGCTAGAAATCTCTTACTTTCTGTAATTGTCACACGACCTCATTAGCCTTGGCAGCATTATCTCACACAAAAGCGCTCGAGGAATATCGTGCTGACGTTGATGATTGATTTTGCAGGATTTCAAGTACTTGATGCCCAGTGGACCATTATTCCGACCCGTCCGCAATGCGTGGCTGCTAAAGCTAAATAAATGGGGTTAATACCATGACCATCTGAAAGTGGTCGTTGTACAAATTCCGCTGCCATTGCTGATACCAAACATCTTCTATAGGCCTACTCCGCTTTGCTATCGCCACCGCTTTTTATCGTTTATCGCGACGTTCGTGAACAGGAAGGTATGTATATCATCTATAACATATTTGATCCGTATGGTAAATGACCATAGCTTTGTAGATCTGCTACGTGCTTTGAAAAGTAAGTACGAACCTCATGTGTCTGCTTGTAAGACTCATTCGTATACCCTCAATAGTGATTTGGTCGACCAACTGGCGTGGTCCGAACGTGTAAGACGTGCACAGGCAAGTTAGCCTGTCCCCCTCGGAATATTAAGAGTAACATGAGCATGTGATTGTGTATAGTCTGCCGCAGAATCCCGCACGCAACACAAACATCGTGATCGATTTGTTGGTAAAGCGACATCGCTTCTGCCTGTCCGTCGTCGTGCCGCCAATCCGTATTGACGTGTATCTTCAGCTACAAAAGCTACGGGATGTGCTATATCAAGATACTCATTGTAAGGCCGTCAAGATGACACTCGATCGCATGCATGTTTACGTCAAACGATGATCTAGATGAGCAAAAGATGAAACAGGTCAACGTTTCTCGATAACATACTCGTGTTTAAATTGGTTACAAGTTCACATCTACTTTCATCCATATATTTCATTACACTCACTGCTTCGTCACTATAAACTCGGTCAATTCCAGTAGCTCTTCAGCCGTCGGTCTCTCCACTGGGTCGACTCTCAGTAGCTTGCTCAGGAGTCCAATTGTAGTCGGCGATATCCGATCCGATAGTCCCCACGAGTCAATGACCTTGGCTACACCCAGTTCAGAAAACGCCAAGAACGCCTTGTTCTCACGTGATGCATTGGACGTAAGTGGTGAACCCGTGAGCATAATAAAGAGCATGATACCAAGCGACCACATGTCCGCTGCAAAGGCGTCGTATTTTTCCTCATTGACCACCTCTGGTGCCATGTAATAGGCCTTACCCACCACTTCACCACTGCGTCGGAGTGGTACGTCTGTACTCAGTCCAAAGTCACCGATCTTGCACACACCACGGCAGTAAAAGACGTTCTCAAGTGACAGATCACGGTGTGCAATGCCGTGTGCGTGCAGGAATTGCACACCACGTACACACTGAAGGAAAAGCTGCTGCGTCATGACCTCCGGCAGTCGGTTCTTTGGGGCGTGCTCCAGTAAACTCCACAGATCGCCACCGGGACAAAACTCCATGACGACACACCACGTGTTTTGGGCGTGCAAAAACTCATCGTGGAAGTGCACAATGTTGACGTGAGGTGGCAGTGTCATGAGGTGTGAGACCACGCGATGTTCGCTCCAAGGGTTGTCCATGTTGGGATTGAGACGTAATGATGCTACGGCCCGTGATAGTGACACCTGTTTGATGGCCACGAGCTCATTGCCACAGTGTGCGTCTTCGTAGAGTCCCACGGGTCCATACAATGCGTCACTGAGTGGACGACGAAGACGGAAGCGATTGGCAAATAACATTGGCATTGAAATGTTGGTGGAGAGGTCACTTGTGATTAAGGTGTTTAATTTGATTATGAACGTTCGTAAGCTGCTGCGTTCTTTTTACTGTATCTGACGACGTAGCAGATGTGGCGTATTGAAGCGATTGCTATGACACGCCGGAAAATCAAGGAATGTGGGCAACAACGTTAGAAGATGCGGCGACTCAAGGCCTTGTGTAACGGTATTTGGTTCCACTCCTCATGGAAGTAATCGGTCCGGAGTAGAGGACCTACTTTTCCTAAGAATGATAGTAAAACGACGATAAACAGGATGCAACTTTGTCAGAATAGCGTGCGTGGTACAAACTGCATCGTTATAGGCAGTGACGTTGTGGGGGAGAGCTTTCGGGGCAGCCACATCGTCAACGGCTATACAATCGCTCGAATGACGATTCGTTGCAACGGGTTTGATCCTCCCGTTCTATTTGTAGCTTTTATAAGAACTTCAATGCAAATACATGACGACCATCGTTCTCAATTTGTCATGGTGGACTAGATGATACGATGTTGCATGCAATGAAGGTGCCAATGTAACTTTTCATTGCTGATCACCAGAAAGCGCTGGTTTGTCTACCACAAAGGGCTTCATTCAACGACTATTGCGAGAAGTGACGTGCAGCATCTCAAAACAATGCTTTGCCGTGACTTCGAGATGATGCTAAGAATTTACCCCACAGGTATGAGAACTCGTTCTTCATCTTGAGACACGCAGTCTTCGTACTACTGACGTTAACAGAACCAGATGTGTCTGAAGAAAGAGGTCTCGTTAAGCGCCGGAAAACGACTACTGAACATGCTACCGCAGCTTTGAATCCGTGCCTAAGAATGCTATACGAATTAGCTCAGAATAATAAGAATAGCAAGCGTCGATAAATCAAACGAAATAGCATCTTGGGGCTGGAAACGATGGAAAAGTCTGCTGATTTTCTCGTTTGGCGTTTTATATCGGTGCTCCTGAATGCCAACGAAGCTAAACAGCGATGTAAAGCTCCGTCCGCAACCAGAAAAATCCATTAGAAACATCTACCAATGTGCTCCTTGCCTGAACTTCTGAAAAGTGTAACGTTAGATGAAATGAAGACATGATCTCTATGTGAAGACTCTAGCTAGTTTGCCCTAAAAGTAATCAAATGTACATATGTTCTATTGAAGCGTCAGAGCAGTTTTCAGTATATTTCGTTGATGTCAGCTTCACTGCAGTTTCGATTCACAACCTACAAGCAAGCAAGTACCCAGTGTGAAGTTGCAATGGTTGCCCGGGCGCGTTGCTGAGGAGCATCAATGTGTAGAAAACTGAGCCGAGAATTGGTCTTGCCCTGGAAAATTGTACAAACTGACAAGCGATGTTTAATTTAGTACCGTAGACACTGTCTATGATAATAATGATGGGTACTTATAAAAGAGCGGGTAATGGCTGTTAATCACAAGTGCACAGCATTTAAAGCCTATTCCACCGACTGAGCATCCTTTGACCATAATCAACTGTTGCGAGTGTCGCTAAAGATCAGAAATACTGACAAGATTGACGAAGATTCTGAATGCTACTGTCTGCTCGTCCGCAAGAAAGTGACGCCAGGACAGTGGTCATAAACCTGGCGACAACTGTGGACCTTCAAGGTTGGATCTGGGGTATCGTATGCCACAGTTGAGTAGTGTAGGAAAACATGATGACTCGAGTTGCGTAAGCAAAGCAGTCCTAACAAAATATATTCACTTCTCATTTTATTACGAAGTCAGCCAATGGAAACACTCCTTTGAAAGCCACGAGCGTGTCAATACTTCCTTGCGGTGATATATCACATTGCAAATACCAGTACCTTCAAAAAGCACCGCCAGTCTGACGTGTTGCCTAAATGCCGACATGTACATGACCGTTTTGTTAGCTAATTACTTTGTCAAAATGGGTTTGACACTGATGCCTGCGTGGTTCTTTTACTTTACCTAATAGACTACAAACCGCAATGCCAAATCAATGATACCGTGTTCGTAACTTGCTGAGTTATTTTTAACTTGATGATTGCGTCTGTATCTGACGACGTAACAAATGGGACGCATTGAAGCGATTGCTGACACCAAATGAATACTAGTCCGTTCTCCGATGAAGTACCATTCACGATCTCGAGACTACAATTGTCACAGCTACCAGTAAATGTGAGCAGAATTGGCGTCTCGGAGAGCTAAGCGTTCTGATTCCATGATTGAAAGTCAAGTGTATAAGAGATAGAAGGTTTACGGGTCAGCGACGACCATCGATCGATACAACGGATCTTTTGCGATATGATGACTATCTAGTCTCTACCATTAGGATGACATATCTCATCTATATGGCTTTTGCAGTCGCCGCATTGAGGCATGGACGTTTCTCGGCTCCGTTTTCTACACATTGATGCTCCTTGGCAATGCGCTCGGGCAACCATTGCAACTTCACATTGGGCACTTGCTTGCTTGTAGGTTGTGAATCGAAACTGCAGTGGAGCTGACATCAACGAAATATACTGAAAACTGCTCTGACGCTCCAATAGTAACATATGTACATTTGATTACTTTTAGGGCAAACTAGCTAGAGTCTTCACATAGAGATCATGTCTTCATTTCATCTAACTTTAGACTTTTCAGAAGTTCAGGCAAGGAGCACATTGGTAGATGTTTCTAATGGATTTTTCTGGTTGCGGACGGAGCTTTACATCGCTGTTTAGCTTCGTTGGCATTCAGGAGCACCGATATAAAACGCCAAACGAGAAAATCAGCAGACTTTTCCATCATTTCCAGCCCCAAGATGCTATTTCGTTTGATTTTCGACGCTTGCTCTTCTTATTATTCTGAGCTAATTCGTATAGCATTCTTAGGCACGGATTCAAAGCTGCGGTAGCATGTTCAGCAGTCGTTTTCCGGCGCTTACACGAGACCCCTTTCTTCAGATACATCTGGTTCTGTTAACGTCAGTAGTACGAAGACTGCGTGTCTCAAGATGGAGAACGAGTTCTCATACCTGTGGGGTAAAATCTTAGCATCATCTCCAAATCACGGCAAAGCATTGTTCATAGATGCTGCACATCACTTCTTGCGGCAAACGTTGCGTAAAGCCCTTTGTCGTAGACAAACCTGCGCTTTCTGGTGATCAGCAATGAAAAGTTACATTGGCACCTTTATGGAATGCAACATCGTATCATCTAGTCCACCATGACACATTGAAAACGATGGTCGTCATGCATTTGCATTGAAGTTCTTATAAAAGCTACAAATAGAACGGGAGGATCAAACCCGTTGCAACGAATCGTCATTCGAGCGATTGTATAGCCGTTGACGATGTGGCTGCCCCGAAAGCTCTCCCCCACAACGTCACTGCCTATAACGATGCAGTTTGTACCACGCACGCTATTCTGACAAAGTTGCATCCTGTTTATCGTCGTTTTACTATCATTCTTAGGAGAAGTAGGTCCTCTACTCCGGACCGATTACTTCCATGAGGAGTGGAACCAAATACCGTTACACAAGGCCTTGAGTCGCCGCATCTTCTAACGTTGTTGCCCACATTCCTTGATTTTCCGGCGTGTCATAGCAATCGCTTCAATACGCCACATCTGCTACGTCGTCAGATACAGTAAAAAGAACGCAGCAGCTTACGAACGTTCATAATCAAATTAAACACCTTAATCACAAGTGACCTCTCCACCAACATTTTAATGCCAATGTTATTTGCCAATCGCTTCCGTCTTCGTCGTCCACTCAGTGACGCATTGTATGGACCCGTGGGACTCTACGAAGACGCACACTGTGGCAATGAGCTCGTGGCCATCAAACAGGTGTCACTATCACGGGCCGTAGCATCATTACGTCTCAATCCCAACATGGACAACCCCTGGAGCGAACATCGCGTGGTCTCACACCTCATGACACTGCCGCCTCACGTCAACATTGTGCACTTCCACGATGAGTTTTTGCACGCCCAAAACACGTGGTGTGTCGTCATGGAGTTTTGTCCCGGTGGCGATCTGTGGAGTTTACTGGAGCACGCCCCAAAGAACCGACTGCCGGAGGTCATGACGCAGCAGCTTTTCCTTCAGTGTGTACGTGGTGTGCAATTCCTGCACGCACACGGCATTGCACACCGTGATCTGTCACTTGAGAACGTCTTTTACTGCCGTGGTGTGTGCAAGATCGGTGACTTTGGACTGAGTACAGACGTACCACTCCGAAGCAGTGGTGAAGTGGTGGGTAAGGCCTATTACATGGCACCAGAGGTGGTCAATGAGGAAAAATACGACGCCTTTGCAGCGGACATGTGGTCGCTTGGTATCATGCTCTTTATTATGCTCACGGGTTCGCCACTTACGTCCAGTGCATCACGTGAGAACAAGGCGTTCTTGGCGTTTTCTGAACTGGGTGTGGCCAAGGTCATTGACTCGTGGGGACTATCGGATCGGATATCGCCGACCACAATTGGACTACTGAGCAAGCTACTGAGAGTCGACCCAGTGGAAAGACCGACGGCTGAAGAGCTACTGGAATTGACCGAGTTTATAGTGACGAAGCAGTGAGTGTAATGAAATGTATGGATGAAAGTAGATGTGAACTTGTAACCAATTCAAACACGAGTATGTTATGGAGAAACGTTGACCTGTTTCATCTTTTGCTCATCTAGATCATCGTTTGACGTAAACATTGCATTGCGATGGAGTGCCGTCTAGCAAAGTGCTTGTTACTCGGCAGATCTTTGTGTCGTACACAGATAGCCATACGCCCATTCGTATTAGACAATTTGACAACTTGTTGAGCTTAGCATAGTGACTTTTGCTATGTCTACGAAGGCGCCTGTTGGCATTCTATATGTGCAAAGTCGGTGAATGTTTTAGAATATTAGCTCAATCCTTGTAAGGTCGCCATAATTTACTTCGGCTCCCTTCGTAGGAAGTGTACAAAAATAATCCCTAAAGACGTACTTCAGAAAGCCTCGCTAATGTTGATCACACCAACGTTCTTCAGCCATCTTTTTAAAACACCAATTTAAGATTGCTAATCGCAACATAAGCTCGTCTCTGCAACTTATCTACACGACCGTAATCATGTATACTGCAATCACTTGCCGTATACAATACGGTATTCAAACGGTATTCAGCTCCATTGATAAGAAATGCTGTCGTTACTACATCGTCCCTTCATCCGCTATAATATCAATCTCTCTCTTAATGTATTTGCACCTTTATCAATCTCTTTTCCTCATTATAGTGTTGATGATCGGCAATTTATCTGTACAAATGCATTACATCACCGTTCTTTTACCTCTTTAACTCCTGAAAAACAATCTCCTGAGCTCCCGACATTTCATGGAAAAGACCTATTGAGTCTCGTATCTAGAGCAAGAGATTCTCATCCTCTTGATTGGTCGGAAGGTGCAGGAATTGCAGAAGAGACCGATCCACTGGATTTAAAAGATCCACATTATGATCTCACCAGCGCCAAGCTCACGAAACTTTTTTCTCGGTTTCAACCAAATCGTAAGTATTTTAATTCATTTAAAAAAAGATCATTCTCTAAAGAATTTGTAAACTAATTTTGTGACTGGGTTAGAGCATGGAATGGTATCGTATGAAGGATTTCAACAAGGTCTGGAAGCCATGGGGATTTTATGTGACAATCAAAACGAGTTCAAGGCTTTTATTGGACAAGTTGATGATGATAAGAGCGGAGGAATCACGTACGATGAATTCTTGTACGCTATTCAAGAAATCAAGCTCGCGCAACTTTTCAGTCCAGAGTTCGTAGGGGCTTTGACGTCCGAATATGCTCGAGTGTATGGTCGCGCAGCACCCGTTGCACAATTGGGCTCGATTGAGTACTCACCTGATCGAGTTCGAAGTGCGTATCCGATCGAAAAAGTCGAGAGGTTCATGTACTCGAAACGACCAAATTGGGCGAGTGTACGCTGGATCAATGTGGAGGGAATCGATCCACTGATGATGAGAAGACTGGCGGTGCGCTATCAGTTGCACCCGCTTGCGGTGGAGGATACACTGGACGCCGATCTAGAACGACCCAAGTACGAGCATTATGACGAGCACTCTTCATTAATTCTTCAAACGGTGCACGCACGTGATTTAAAGAAGGCGTTGGAGTATCAAAGCATGTATCGCGCTTCGCTGTATGTTCGGGATGATGCCGTATCACCGTTTGAAAGCATGAGCACGTCTGAACTGGAAACGAGACTTGACGACCTAGGCATAGGACGTATCATGGCACCACCTGAACAACTGAGCTTGTACATAATGAAGAACGTGGTCATTAGTGTCCAGGAGGCCCCAAGCACGCTGTGGCCGACACTGAAACAGCGACTGGAAATGTCATACTCTAAGGTTCGGCAAAATGGCACGGCATTTTTGGTGTACTCGATTGTAGACGTGTGCGTAGACGAATTATCTCCAATCTCGCACACGTATGGAGCCAAGGTAGCAATGCTCTCTCGTCTTCTCCGTCACGACCCACTCAACTTCGATGTCGATCGTCTAGCCAAGTGCTCGAAAGAGATTAAAGGGCTCAAGCTACTGTGCAAACCACTGCGCGAAATGACAACCCAACTTATGGAGTCAAGTGATTTCGAGGGCGAGACGCTGCGGTATTTTCGTGATGTGCAGGATCATGTGACAGTCATCGACGAGACCTGCGATCGCCTCCTTGACCGCTGTCGCAGTTTAGTAGATGACTTTCACAACGCGCGACATGGCCAGCAGAGCGAAGTTAGCTACACGCTGACCCTCGTTGCAACAGTGTTTCTACCGGCTCAATTTCTTACGGGTCTGTATGGTATGAATTTTGTCAACATGCCTGAACTGCAGTACGAGCACGGATACATGATCTGGTGGGGTGTTGTATCGACTATCGCCACCGGGACAATCACGTACTTTAAATTCTACAAGAAGTGGCTGTAATTGTCCATGGATATATCAGAAGCCATATTTGTAATGGAGACCAATACTTCTCATAAAGCTGGACACTTCTTGCGTTCAATTCATTTTTGCTTTTTGTTTGCTCGTGAGAGTACGTCTTCGAGTAATTCTCAGGCACTGCTGTCCAGTTGTACACTGCAAGAGACCCTGACAGTTTTAGAGTTCAGTCAAGTTCCTGATCGATGCGAAGGAAAGACGCTAAATAGTCGCGAAATCTGAACACAGACTAATGGAAAGACTCGATTTGAGTCAATTCACCGTAACAACCACTAAACATCTCATCTGTTACATGCGTCACAGAAAAGTCCAGTATGTGTAAACGAAAAGAACCGTAAAATATCCACTGTGGCTGTACGTTTACTTTCGCGTTTGGACGTGTAACCCCAAGCGTACTTTCATGAGCTCAAGTCCACCGCAATTCCATCGGGGGTGCCTTTTGCAGTTCAAAAAAGACTACAGCACGTTACATTACATCTTCGTGTCAACGAACGGCTCCACCAAATTCAGGGACGCATCATATAGCCCAAGCAAAAGCCATGCGGACGTTTCGTGCTTAGATTGCAGTGGGAAATGGGGTGCTTGGCTCGGGTGACTGCCAGGATGGGTCATCATTACGGAATTTGCGGCAGCAAAAGAGGACCTCGCAATGCCCCAGCCTGACTTCCCAGCGCGTTTGACAAGTCAGGTTGCTCATAGAAATCGCATTGGACCAGGGGGAATACGAAGCGTTGGATCGGGATCAATATTTAACAGCAAATATGCGCAAGCGAGGAAAGAATTAGGCAGCCACGAAAACCGACGAGTAGTAAGTCGGGCCATTGTATGCGCCGGAAGCCTCCGTGTGCGATCCTGTAAGCTACTCTGGAAGCCAGCAGTGCTGCAACTGATGGTCACCAGTACTACCAGCTTTAGCGAAGACGAATCGCACTTTGAAGATTGCAATGATGTCTCTGACGACTCAACCGACGACGATATCGATAAGATCACTACCATGACTTGTCCAAACACGACGCACCACTACTCGCTAGTATTCTGCCACCGGTCACTCATGGGTCATGCACGTCGAAAACGAATCGAGCTCAATGGTACCCGAGATCTCGTTGAGTTCGTTTGGGGAAAGTATGGTATGATGAGTACCCAGTTCGAGTTCAGCATTGTGTACGGAAAACGGCGTCGCACTCTTAATTGCCGCGCAAGCAACGCAAAGGACTATTTGCAGTGGACTGAAGTTCTACGCTCGGCCGTGACATTTCAAGGAAATAAATGCGTCACGATGAACCGGTCCACTCAAACATCATCCAATGCTTCGTCAAATTCGAACTCATCGATCGAGTCTTTTTGTAACACAAGCGTCGTGAAAGAACAACAGCCTGTAGCACCGATAGCGTCAACGCCCACACCCAGACTTCCAACTAATGCTAAGACCGCCAACGTCATTGCCCCTCCTAAAACTGACATTGCTGAGGGATCAGCGCTTAGACCTGTTCCAGCAGACATTGCTGCAGCATATGGAATTGGTCGAAGACGAAAAGTAAAGACTGTGGCAAACCCGACAGGAAGCCACGTTCAACGACAGAAGCAGTCAAAACCTTCCCCAAATGATGCTAAGCGACATCAAGACAGTATTCCGATGACAGTGCAGACTGTTGCTAAGGGCATAACTTCGCATACTGAGAACGTCAAACCTCTCCACGATCGACAAGTGACAGCATTTCGACCTTCTTCTGCCGATCGACAACGTCAAAGAACCAGTAACACAACCAGAGGAATTCGTTCAACACGATCAACAATGCAGGTACGGAAGACCCGCCTTGTTGATGGTACCCTTTCGTGCACCAGCAGCAACTCCAAGAGCGATCATCTGCTTGTATTACCAGCTTCCAAGATGGATGAGCGTCTGAAAAATGCTTACGTAATCTCTCCATCATCATCCATCGAGCGACAGCAGTTTCAGAGCAAAAACTCTCGTCCTGTATCCAAGAGCGACAAGACTAAAGACCCGTGCCTCCATTCATGTCAAAGCTGTCACTTCAATGTTGATCCATGCGACTTTCACGACACAAACTTGACACGTGTCAATGGTAGTCAAACGCGTGAAAAGTCGTGGGCGACTTATGTGAAAACAATGGAATGCGAGTTTTAAACTGTAGCCATGTGTCAGGACTATTGAAATGGTATTCCAATTGATGTGGTGCACATCGTCGTTTGCAGTGCGAGAATGAAGGTTGCCGTGTACATTGTCGGAGCAAGCGGCACCAGTGTGCATCGAATCTGCTGGTATACGGGCACGTCAGATACTCAAGTAGAAATGGCAATACGTATGCAGCTACATTTGCCTCAGGGTATAAAGTTCTTACTACGTGACGCTGACGCAGACGTTGTTCCGGTATCTTCGACTCTACCAAATGACCATCACTTTACACTGGTGTTACCGGAAGGTTTGGGGTTTGAGAATGTGTGTACTTCAATTGATGGTGTGACAAGTGGAGTTATTAATAGAACAGGGTTGATATCAGTTGATGACGCGTCTGTGATAACGCAAGAGCAAGTGACGGCAACTTCAACTTCAACCGCAAAAAGGAAACGGCTTGAGGCAGAGGAAACTATCTCTAGTCAAATGGCAAGGGTGTCTTCGGTTGATTGCATCATCACAACTACACAACTTGAATCCATGCCTCCTCCACGGTCACTTGCAACTATTATTGCGCAATTTGTTGAGACGTTCACACAGCCAATTACCAACGACGACAATGTGAGTTTTATTCCCAATGCAGGACGCTTTGCACTCTACGCGCTCTATTGTAAAGTAGTACGGGATATGAAGTTTCATCCAAAGCGAGAGGATGTGTTTTACAAGATGACATCCATGCATGGGAAAGTAGATCGGCAACGTGTAGTTCGTTACTACAGGTGTCTAGCAGAGGATGGAGAAGGAACAGAGTTTGTGCAGTACAAACCTCAGGGGAAGGGCGTCTTGCTGCGAAGATATCGCGAAGTGGACAGTATGGAGCAATTAACGGATATAGCGAGGTCGGCACCATTCGTTTCGTGGCTAAAGCTGGACCCAAATGATGTGGCGGCACTGTACGTGCGCTTTATACAAAGCTTTACACCGATTGTCAAAAGTGACTTTAGAGCACAAGCAAAAGAAGTTCGCGCGTGAAACATTGAGAAGGATAAGAGGTGCAAGGCGTACGTTTCATTACTTGATAAGTCCCTGCAAGTGTTATGTCTTTTCTACAGTTCATCCTTTTCATCAGCAGGCCCCGTCTCCTCCTCTTCGACCTTTTCACTTACATCAGTAGGCATCGTCTCCTTCTCCTCGGCCTTCTCACTTCCACCGTCCTTGGCCAAAGTCTCTTTCTCGACCTTAGGTCCATCTTCGTCAATGTCTGCCTTCACCGGCTGCGGCTTAGGCCGCTTTGCCAATGTAGCGACAAACCTTTTAACGCCCTGGACCTTTTTAACCACGTCTGCCGACGTCACCACGGGCTCCTCATGCTTATCGGTGGCCTTCTGTTTGGCCTCTGACTCAGTTAGCCACGCATCAAGCTCGTCGAGTTTTTCAGCCACGTCACTGCGCTCCACGTCCGTCACCTGCGGCTTGCTGGTGCTCCACTCGTTCATGAGATCGCGTGTGCTGAAAGCGTACTCCCGGGCGGCTTTGATGGCAATAGGCAGCTCCTTCAGTTCAGCTACGCGGAAGAGAATTGCACTGAGGTCCGAGTCCAACATGTTCATCTTCTTCTTGTACGCAGCAGCATCCACCTTGTCGCCGTCGTCGTATAACCATTCCTCTGTCTCCTCTAGCTTTCGCTGCAGTGACTCTACCTGCTTGGGCACCGTTACCTCCTTAATGTCGCTCTCCTGTGCAGACAGCGCATCGTGGGCCTTATAGATAAAAGTCTCAAGACTGTTCTTCGCCTCCAAATTAGCCTGACGCTTGTTGTCCGCATTCTCCATCTCAGTCAGCATGCGCATCGATTCCTTCTTCACAGTCCCACTCATAGGAAGCACACTCAACCCTTCTTCTGGCTTGCGCGTCTCGTACGCACGCACCACAATCAGTTTCTCGCGATGCGTTTTAATCTGCTTTTCCATTCGAATTTCCGGTTTTTCTTCCTCTTCAGTCTCATCCGTCTTACTATCGTTGCTGCTGTCAGCACTTTCATCCTCCTTCTCAGAATTCTTGCTCTTCTTTTCCTTCTTCACAACCACCTCAACCTCAACCTCTTCTTCCAGCGTGGCCTCACCCTTAGCAATCCTAGCAATACCGTTATTGTCCAGCTCGAAAGAGAGTGTGACTTTCGGTTCACCAAGGTTCTTGTCGGCCATGCGTGCGGCAAACTTCTCAACGCCCGTGATGTTGAACTTGCCAATCTGCACGCTTACACCGGCGGGCAGCATCGACGGCTTATCATAACGGAACGTGCAAGAGATGTCGTTCGAATGCAAGAATGACACAGACTTGCGCAGACCCAGGCGGTGCGACTCCGAAAAGATGGATGCTCGCTTCATCCACTGCTTCGATTCCGCCTCATCGTCATTGTTCGTTGCTTCAGTAGCAGACAAGTCCGTCAGGCGCACACCGATCGGGTACGACGCAATGTCCACCATTCCTACCTGGCGCACACGGAAGGAGTTGCTCAGGTTGGCAGCGCGAAAAGCAGCACCCAGAGCCATGGCCTCGTCGCCATTCAAGTGTACACCGAGGTCCTTGCCCACAAAGAACTCGGAAAGCTGTTGCTGGATCTTGGGCATACGCACGCCGCCACCGATAAGCTCGATCTCGTCAATGTCTGCGACAGTCAGTCCGGCCTTCTTCATAGCCATCTCTACAGGCTTAAGCGTGCGTTTAAACAAGTCAGACGAAAGCTCCTCTAATTTGGAACGAGTCATGGTAGTGAAAAAGTCAATGTCGTTGTACAAACTCTGCATGACCACGGGAATCTCCTCATTAGCCGACAGCACCGTCTTAGTCTTCTTTGCCTGTGCACGGATCTTTGCCATTGGGCGAGGGACCTTGCGGATATCCTCTCTGATCTTCTCGCTAAACTCATTGGCCAAATACTCCGCCAAACGTAAGTCAAACTTAGCTCCACCCAGCGACTCATCCCAAGCATTGCTAATGGTCTTGAACGTCGAGATGGTCTTGTTCTTCTTAAATCCATCCGGCACCACCTGACTGGAAAATTCGGCAATACTCACCTGTAATGACGTCGATCCCAAGTTATAAAACAGAATCTTCTTTGGTTTCTCTTCCGGATCGTAACTTCCATGCACTGCCAATTGCAACGCCGCTGCCGTATTCTCATTAATAAGTGACAGCACTCGTACTCCAGAGATCTCCGCTGCATCCAGCAACGCTTGACGCTGCGCTTGAGAGAAGAATGTCGGTACTGTAAGCACCCAGTCCTTAACAGGAGCTTCTGCAAACGTGTCGGTAATCTGTCGGGCATGAGCAAAGACCATTGCTACCAGCTCCTCGGCATGAAATATCTGCTCTTTTCCGTGCTTAAGGGAGATCGTACCGCCACGTGTTGCGTTCTGTATCAGCTCGTATGGGAAATGTTCTTCGTCCAGTAGCGCTGACACTTGCGGATCACTCAGTGTCGTGCCTAATAGTCGACGGATCTGTGAGTATGCCGTCTGTGGTCTACGTACACCCACAGTGGCTGCATCGGCACCGTATAGACGCTCATCACCATCAAAAGCGACCATTGTCTCGGTCTTGCGCTTGCTGTGCACATTTGTGACGATTTCAAAGGGTGTGCCGGGTTTTACGAGTGCAATTTTGAAGAACTCGCCACCCAAATCAACGCCGGCTACAGCAGCTTCTATTAATGAGGTTGTTAGCAATCCAGCGCCCAGTAATGAGAGCAGCAGGAGCCTTACAGTCTTCATAACTTTCAGTCAAAATGAAGAGTGATGGTCTTGTTCTCAAGATGCGGAAATGCGGAATGAAAAGGCAACTAACTGATGATAGACGTCAACGCGACACGTGTTCTATTTACTATAGTGGATGGAAGCGAAGACGTTTTGACCAATGAAAACGAGGTGTCTTTGATTTCGTGGCTGACGTGGCGAAATGGCTACATTCATCTAATTGTCTAATTGGTTCCGCACAAAAGCGACACTGCAACGTTTCTTCGAGAACATCGTTTTGCAACACACATTTCGTTCTCATTACCACCTCAGCAGTTGTATGCAGGCCAGCGTACTATACATTTCGATTCTTAGGCTCATTTTTTGATCACGTCGACATTACAACCTTTGCTAGGTGCATTGCCTATCGTCTTCATGTGTACGAATGCACTTTGCACGAATTACTCCTCAAACAACATTATATACAAGGACAAATATGCATTCCTATATATCAGCAACAGTGGTGCATGTTTTCATAGAGGTACTTCTTTCTTCTTTTATTTGGATAAGCAATCACCAAAAGTGGCTTCAATTCCATTTCGCATCTCTTGATTAAAGACCAAGAACAGCTTGTATTGTCGCTAGTGCTTGCTCGGGGTCGCTCGCCTTCTTTTCTTTCGCGTCACTTGAATCGATGGCTATAATGGCTCTATCTCCCCAATTCCCTAGCAAAACTAGTGCCTGTATAATCAGGTAGAAAGAAAAGAGATTGGATACTTGTGTATCCAGGAAACGTTGTACCGGACCAGCGTCTTACCTGAGCATTCTGCTTCCATCCCGGCAGCTTGACGAATTCCCACAGCTTCGGGTCTAGCATACCGTAATCATCCACACCAGCAGGCTTTCGCCCCACTATCCACGGACAAAAGTGCCGATGTTGTGAGAGCAAATTGACACTCCTGTCAATATCGACCTTCAAGCGCTTTGCTGGCGGCTCACCCTCTTCAACGCCTCCCTTGCTTACTGTCCCTGGATGAATCTGCCATCGTCGATTACAGGAACCACAGTAAAGCATATCCGCTTGAGTACCGTCTCTCTCATCAAATTTCCACCCACACATGATCACGAATGCAGCACTCATAAGCGCTTGCGGGTTCACAGATACGTCTTTCTGCTTCGAAATCCTCGCAACCAACTTTGACGTCAACGTCATAATATCCAAAAGAGCTGCACCATCTCCAGAACCATTTGCTTCCTGCATTATCTTGGCTATCACTGCATCTTCAATTTTGATACTTTCCATTTGCTTTTGAAACTCGATATCATTGTGCATCCGTGCTACTTCTTCCTCTAGTTGACGTATGAACATCTCACACACTTGACGTTTCGTCGCAATAGGAAGCTACAGCAAGTAACACCAAGACATCAACATAAGCACGATATCCTTCTCTATTACTCACCCCTCAAAGTCCTTACCATCGTAAAAGCTTCAGGCGACGGATTCCCCCGCCATGGACAGAGCTGCGTATGCCCTGTGACCAATTGATCAGCAAATGTCTTGGCCACTTTAAGGACACCAGTTTCGCTTAATTTGCTATTGATGTTAAAGCATAGAAACTGTTTACAACTTCAAAAACAACAGCAAACAACAGCGTCAGTATCAATGTCATCACCTTTATCCTCAGTTTTTTACTGTACCAGGTACAATACAATTGATCCAGTGCTGAATTTCTCCAGCCATGACGTGCACATTCAAATACACTGACAATATCTGGTTTTGCAAACCACAAAGCAATGGAAAAGCTGCTCACTCGCTCTAAAAAATCATCATGTTCCCAGGGACGACAAAAGTCTCCAATTTGGCTAGAAGTAGGCCCTTTTAGTCGCTTGAATCGGGTCGAAGAAACAATAGCTGACTCGGATAGAAATAGATGCGCATCTTCTCGCACACGTGCGTCCAAAGGCGTGGTAGCATCGTTCCAAACTGCTAGCAACGTCTCCATTTGCGACCTTAGCGCTGCCATCGTCAGGAAAACAATTTGATGTGTGTGTACATCAAATTCACCAGTCAGTAAGCAGCAGTTATTTTGATGTGTACGTACATCGATTTCAAAACTGTCACCATTCGACTAGGTCTCATACAAAAAGCAAGACAAATTTCAATTCGAGCAATGGTGAACGAAGCGGTGGACGTAAACAAGTTGGAGGCTGAAGCAGCGAGTCTCACGAACGTGACGTCCGATGGAGATGCTTTACCAACTACTGAAGAGTCATCGGAAGCTGTGGATGCTGAAATTGAAGACATGAAACGTCGTGTAAAGGAGATGGAAGAAGAAGCGGCCAAACTAAGTGAGATGCAGTCAGAAGTTGAGTCTCAGATGGGGAATTCGTCTTCAAACCACAATGAGATCAATGGAAATACATCGGGAAATGCTCAGACATTACAGATGGAAGACATGTCCATTTATATTGGTCAAGTGGACTATGGTAGTACACCTGAAGAGCTTCAGGCTTTGTTCCAATCTTGTGGTACCATTAACCGGGTTACAATCCTATGTGACAAGTTTACGGGTCAACCAAAAGGTTACGCGTACATTGAGTTTGCTTCTCATGATGCTGTAGAGAGTGCTCTTTTGTTGAATGATACAATGTTTCGTGGTCGAAAGCTCAAGGTTACACCCAAGAGGATGAATGTGCGTGGATTCAACATGTCCCGTGGAGGACGAGGAGGTCGTGGACGAGGAAGGGGACGCGGACGTGGACGTGGACCACCTCGTGGAGGATTCCGAGGTGGGAGAGGACGTGGTTTTCATCCGTACTACTAGAATCACAAGTCTACTGATGAAGTGGACACACGGTTAGTTTGGAGGACGGTCAGAGGAGATTGCAACAGGGAACTAGGACGGGATGAAACGTCAATCAAATGCTCTTCTAGCATGAAAAGAGGAAGAAGATGAAAGACATACCCCACAAAAAAAGAAAAAAACATGAAAAAAAACAGTCAAAAGAGGTATTTCCTTCCCCATGGACATCCATCCATGACAGCAGTCCGCAAACTGGTACGCGTGATGCGTTAGCAGTGTAGATTTAAATAGCCTGTACAAGCAAAATGTTGTAGGTAGCACAAGAACACTTTTTGACGATGTCATTCGAGTTACAGGAAAAAAGACCGGCGACTCAACAAGAGCAATGCGTGGCATTTGAGTGTAAGTATTAATGGGGAACTTTTTTGTTGCGCTTCGCGGGAAGGCCAGGGAGGCCGCTCGAAGTGCGTCGCTTGGCTACGCGGATTACCTTTTCTGAATGCTTCGGCGTCTTACCTGAAACGAGAAAGTCAAACACACACGGAGTTAGTTTGAAGATACTGATCGCCACAACACGTAATAAATTCACATCGTACCTTTACTGATTGCGCTTTGTGGGTGATTTGCAAAATGAGCTGCGGAGGTTCCATTAGCAGCCAATAGTTCATCGCCTGGTCGTTCTGTTGCACAAAGAACACTTGTTAGCATGGAGTGATATAAGTGAATAACCACGCATAGAGCCTTACCAGATACAGTGACAGGAGTCGTAATTGGTTTGTACTCGGTGCCTGTAAGCGCGTGATAGCGCTCACGTAAAGCCCGAACTTCGTTCTCTTTACTTTTCAGATACTTCCGCAGTGATAGAAGTCCCACAGCGTCCTGACGCAACTTGTCGTATGTTTCACACACGGGCTTTGTAGGCATTGGACGTGCGGGTACGCCCATTTCTTCCATCAAAAGCTGCAGTTTTTTCAAAAGCTTGACGCTAAGAGCATGCTTTTGTTGAGGAAGTGCCAACAACGAGCTCCGCAAAATCACACCGGTGGGTAACGTCCGCTTAATCTCGTAGGGCACATTTGCAAGCTCCTTCTTTTTCTTGGGGTCCACTTTCACCGCCACCTTTTTAAGTTGCTGCTCTACTCCACGCAGCTCATCATTAAGTCGACGAATCTCATTCTCTTCTTCGGTCGTACGTGAGAAGATAAGATCGAGCTGTCTTTTGCGCTGCTTTTCATACGCAATGTTAAATCTGTAGTGCTCCGGTGCAGTAGAGGTAGGCACAGTAGGCATCGGTGTCAATGGTGTATTTGCAGTCCTAGGGTCAGCCTTTATAACACCAACAGTTGTTGGGGTAGCTGCTCTTGGCACAGTAAGGTCCGTCACAGGAGTAGCACCAGCTTGAATTGTAGAAGTAGCTGCAGCTGCAGCTGAAGTAGCTACGTGCATCTTTTTCTCCAATTCACTTTTCGCCTTTTTATCTCTGTACTCATTTATCAATCGTGTAACTTCATAGTATCGGTACTTAATATCTTCAATCGATCGTAATGATCCTTTCGCAATAGGGCTTGAATTGTACTTGTCCATGATTACAAACCACCTGCATCATACATTACACAACGTCATTCGAAAACACTAGTTCAATAAATGACCATCCACATTCAGACAACAGTATTCAAATACCGTAGATCAAACCGGTTGCATAACTTCAGCAGTAAATCCGTCTCTTCCTTCGTCCACTTCATCATTGGATCAACATGATGTGCCAATGCCGCTTCATACTCTTCATCTGTATACTTGACAGTCTCACTCTTGACATTAAATCTTGCAAATACGTAATCAGGTTGTTCTACATGAGCTTTTCCCCAATGAGAAAGCACAAGTCCGTCTTCTTCCGTCTCTCCCGCTAAAGACGCTCGAGCAGGATTACGGAACGATTTACGCAGCCATTTTACAGCTGGTGAGCTTTTCCGTTCTTTCCATTTTTGCTTAAGACTCGTCTTCCCAAATCCCTGATACAATGCGTGACCAGCACGATGATTACTCTCTAAGAGCTCCAATACTTCACGTTGCATACCCGTGAGCTTTTTTTGCTTGCTGATATTGTTACTTTGCTTTCCACGTGATGCTGGTGACACACCGGATGGTTTTAACTGGTCTAAATTACTTGCTACAGTCCCATTAGTACTAGCTTTAGACCCCGAAAGCCCCAGGATCTGCGCAACGTCGCTCATTCTACCAAAATCTCCACCTTATGAGGAAATATACCGGTACTTGGGGTTGAGAAACTTACCGGTATCGACTGGTGGTATAACCGATGAATTTACCGGTTGTTTTGACGACTAAAAAAATAGTATCATAACAAAAATTAACGACTATGGTACGACTTCTAGCAGCGATAATGAGGACGTGAAGATGTATTTTTAACGTAATAAAAAATCTCCTTGTAGAGCTCCTCTGATTCATCAAAGAATGAAAGTGCTCCTAATAATACACCAGCGGGTGGTCCCACCGATGCTCAAGACCTCACAGTTTTCGTACGTAGCGAATTGATACGTTTATATAAAACTATTGATACTAATTATTGTACATACTGTTGCCATAGGTGCAAAGTTTACTGGAACAAATGGTAAATTGTCGTTATACTTGCTATTTATAAGGTAAATTTGACTTTGTTTTGTATTGTTTTACATGCAGCAATCACGGTTTGCACAAATGTCGGATGCCATTATTGGAAGAAATATCCTTTTCACCTTTTTTACATTACATTATTGTATATTGTATACATACACAATATTTATTATACGACTAGAGAAGTGAATATCTTGTGGTTGATTCCTTGACTGCCTTATTGTTATTTTTTTGCTATTGTGGAAGTGTACTCGATGAAATGGGATCACGTATCGATGAGCTGGAGAAATCCATTGGAGATTTGATGGAGCGGGTGAGAGGACGATCATTGAGTGGTACTTTGCGAGAGAGGGTAGAGGTTTTACCTGGTTGTGCTTTGCTTTGAACAGACAAATGAAGATGACAATGATAAGGACCAGGAGCTGGCGGTATCTGCACCAAAGGACAAGGCTGAGCAGGTGTAAACTACTAAGGTGCTGTGGTGTGGTACTTTTAGTACGAACGACACTAGAGAGTTCTAATGGTAGCTCTGGACACCACAACACACACGCTAACGCGAAATGACCAACACGAGATTCGATTTGCATCTTAATTTCTTGTTGCAAACAGTAACTTACTTGTCGGCATCTTCCTACATGTGTCCTTCTAATAGAGAAACCCCACAACGAAAGCAGCAAAAATACTAAGAGGACACCTGCCGTCGTCTCAGCGCTGGCTCCAGGATTCCTACTCTCGCTCCAATCGTCGCTTAGTCCTTCTTGTCTTTAAACTCAGCATCGTGCACGTTCTCGTCTTTGTTGTCATCCCCGCTGCTGGATGCACCTTCGCTCTGCTGCGACTTGTAAACAGCCTCGCCGATCTTCATGGACATCTGCTGCACCTCCGCAAGGGCAGCCTTAATCTCTTCCGTGTTTTCGCCCTCCGACTTGGTACGCAAATCGGCCAGAGCAGTCTTGACCTTCTCCAACGTCTCGGCATCGATCTTGTCCTTGTGCTCCTCCAGGGTCTTCTCCGTCGTGTACAGTGTCGAGTCGGCGTCATTCTTCGCCTCAATCAACTCCTTGCGCTGCTGGTCTGCGGCGGCGTTGGCCTCTGCGTCAGCCACCATTTTCTCGATCTCGGCCTCCGACAGCCCGCCACTCGACTGGATCACGATGTTCTGCTCCTTGCCCGTGGCTTTGTCGCGGGCGCCCACGTTTACAATTCCGTTGGCGTCAATGTCGAAGCTTACCTCAATCTGCGGTACGCCACGCGGAGCAGGCGGGATGCCCACCAGGTCAAAGTTGCCCAGCAGCTTGTTGTCCGTCGCCATCTCACGCTCACCCTGCAGCACCTTGATGCCCACCTGCGTCTGCGAGTCGGCAGCCGTGGAGAACACCTGCGACTTCTTGGTCGGAATTGTCGTGTTGCGCGGGATCAGCTTGGTAAACACCCCACCGAGGGTCTCAATGCCCAGGGACAAAGGAGTCACATCCAGCAACAAAATGTCCTTGACGTCACCGCGCAGCACGCCACCCTGGATAGCAGCACCCATGGCAACCACCTCGTCCGGGTTCACTCCCTTCGATGGCTTCTTGCCAAAAAACTCCTCCACAGTCGACTGCACCTTGGGCATGCGCGACATACCGCCAACCAGAATGACCTCGTTAATTTCACTCTTCTCGATACCAGCGTCCTTTACGCACTTCTTGCATGGGCCCATGGTGCGCTCAATGAGCTTACCGACTAGCTTCTCAAAGGTCGAACGTGTAATCTTCATGTTCAAGTGCTTGGGGCCAGAAGCATCAGCCGTAATAAACGGCAAACTAATGTCCGTCTGAGCTAAACCATCCAGCTCACGTTTGGCCTTCTCTGCAGCCTCACGCAGACGTTGCATAGCAAGGTTGTCACCCGACAGATCAATGCCCGATTCCTTCTTGAACTCACCGACAAGGTATCGCAGCAACTCTTCATCAAAGTCCTCACCACCCAACAACGTGTCTCCATTGGTCGACTTGACCTCAAAGACACCACCCGAGATCTCTAGGATCGACACATCAAAAGTGCCACCACCAAGGTCAAAGACAGCAATGACCTTGCCATCCGCCTTGTCCATACCATAGGCAAGGGCAGCAGCTGTAGGTTCATTGATGATCCGAAGTACGTCCAGACCAGCAATTTTACCAGCATCCTTAGTAGCTTGACGTTGGGAGTCGTTAAAATAAGCCGGTACCGTAACCACAGCTTGAGTTACAGGTTTGCCCAGGAATCCATCAGCCGTCTCTTTCATCTTCGTAAGGACCATGGAACCAATCTGCGACGGTGAATATTTCTTGCCTTTCGCTTCAACCCATGCATCTTTTCCATTGTTTCCCTTTACAATCTTGTACGACACGACCTTGGCCACTTCCTGAGTCTCTTTGTCTTCAAATTTGCGTCCAATTAGACGCTTGACAGCGTAAAAAGTGTTCTCTGGGTTTGTCACAGCTTGACGCTTAGCAGGCATACCCACAAGACGTTCATCATTGTCTAAAATAGCCACAACTGAAGGTGTCGTACGTGCACCTTCGGAATTTTCAATCACACGGGCCGTTTTGCCTTCCATGACAGCCACACACGAGTTGGTTGTGCCTAGATCAATACCAATAACTTCCGAGCCAGAGGCAGCGGAGAACATGCGCTTGGCAGCAGCAGGAGCAGGCGAACGGAGGGCACTAAGACGCAACATTATTTTTATTGTGTCTTGAGATCTGTGGAGCAAATTTTCAATTGAAAGGCGTCTCGTGAACCACTCGCTTAAATTGAAGGAATACCGTTGATAATTATAACAGTCTAGAAAAATAGATATATTACGGACCCGTAATATATTCTATCGTGAAATATAGGTCACGTTGTGATGGGTCAATGACTCATTTTTTTGGGCACACTTTTGGATCTTTCGAGAACGTTAACGAAAAAGAATGATGGTTGGTCGTACTTATCGAAAAAGTTGACAGAAGCAAAGAAAGCAAAAAAGATGGTCTCGTTGTTTGGCAAGAAAAAGGATGGTATGACACTACGCCCACGAGTACGACGTGCAACGCCGCTTATGGATGTGGGACTTGCAGTTGTTTTGGGTGCTGTTACGGGTGTGTACATCTTTAAAGATTCAATGCAGCGCTGGCAGATCTCAGAGGGTGAATACGTGGCAACGGAAGTGAACAAGGCTACTCTGACTGCTCAAAACGCACATGCTACGACGACACAAGATGGAACAAGAAATTAATACAGTAAATTAATGTAGACTTGCAGTAGTTGCTGTCTGCTTATTAGCTTTTCCTGACTATGCAGCAATTAGGCGAAAAAAGCGAAAAAGCATTTTCTTTTTTGTCAGATGTGAAATGTTTTTTTCTTGTGTTCATGAATGACTCCTGCAATAACGAGGTTTTTTTTTAGCAATTTGCCTTTGCTGTTTCGACTTATCGTAGAGATTGTCATTCCGCGCATGTTACAGGTGGTACATCTTCCGACAGGCAAGAGGTATGTGGCCTGTTGAGCAATACGGAGGACTCCTGCATATCCTCTGGAATTGCGCAGGGAGCGAACAACCACGCTACCTTGGAGGCACTATTCATCCCCCACCAACACTATCCATCCCCCACCAAATTATTTTAGATACTTTCGGTTTTTTATATTGTGTGTTTTGTATCTAATGGTACCATCGACTCCCCCACTTGAGTGACCATTGCCAAAACGACTGGTTCTGCTGCGTCGACGCGATTGAAAAGCCTTCCTGTCTGTCATCACTATTGGATTTGTCGCCGTAACGAGCATTCGCCTACACTTCCTTCTTCTCTTTCCTCATGGCTTCTGTTGCTGCAAATCGTCCCGTTGTATCGGTCCTCTCCATTGAAGGTGAGACTGCCTCTGTCATATCTCAAGTGGTCTTGCCCGCCGTGTTTACGGCTCCTATTCGTCCGGATGTCGTCAACTTTGTCCATACAAACATGGCCAAGAACCGTCGTCAGGCTTATGGTGTCTCACGTGAGGCAGGTCACCAACACTCTGCCGAGTCATGGGGTACCGGTCGTGCTGTATCACGTATCCCCCGTATCCAGGGTGGTGGTAATCAGAGTTCTGGACAGGCTGCCTTTGGTAACATGTGCCGTGGTGGTCGCATGTTTGCTCCGACGCGTATCTGGCGCAAATGGCACCGCAAAATCAATGTCAATCAACGTCGTTTTGCTGTCGCTTCAGCTCTTGCTGCTTCAGCTGTTCCTGCACTTGTCATGGCCCGTGGCCACCGCATTGAAAAGGTGCCGGAGGTGCCTCTAGTCCTTGATGATTCTGTAGAAGTCATTCAAAAGACCACACAAGCTCTCAAGATCCTTGCTAAGATCGGAGCTGATGCTGAAATTGAAAAGGTTAAAGCTTCAAAGAAGATCACCACTGGACGTGGAAAGTCACGTAACCGTCGCTACACGACGCGTCGTGGTCCTTTGATCGTGTTTGCCAATGCCAACGGTGCTGAAAAGGCATTCCGGAACATTCCCGGTATTGAACTTGCCAATGTTGAACGCCTGAACTTGCTTCAACTTGCACCAGGTGGTCATCTTGGTCGTTTTATTATCTGGACCAAGTCTGCTTTCCAGAAATTGGACTCTTTGTACGGCACGTACTCGAAGAAATCCATCTCAAAGACTGGGTACCAGCTTCCTCGTCATCAGATGAACAATGCTAATCTTGGCCGTTTGATCAACTCGGACGAGATTCAGTCGGTCATCCGTGCTGGAAAGTACCAGAAACACCGTCGCTTCCAGAAGAAGAACCCGCTCAAGAACTTGGGTGCTATGGTCAAGCTGAACCCGTACACGCTAGTGGCTCGTCGTGCTGAGCTACGTGCTGAGGCTTTGCGTGCTGAGAAGAAGAAAGCTTTGACCGACAAGAACCGCAAGAACACGTGCAAGACGGACCCGAAGCGCAAGGCTCAGTCGCGTGCTCTGTTTGCCAAGAACTCTTCGGACTAAATGTCCTGTGGGGTTTTGGGCATGCATTCTATTGCAGAATGTTGGCATCACTTGGAAGAAACTGCTCGCTGTGCATTGCAGCAAATGTTAGCATCGTAGAGGGGTTTTAGTACTTGTGAACACGTGAACGACGCAACAAATGAAAGAATGCCAGTGAAAGAGGCAAACAATGTGTTTTTATGGGAGTTTGGGTCTTGCTACGTAAGAAGTGTGGTTGGCACCTCTGTCATGTTAAAGGTGTTTCCTGCAGGTTCACGACCTAAAGCACATGTATGTCATACACGTGCTTTGATGCACGGTATACTTCCTGTTGAAGAGGCTTTATGTGCATTGATTAAAGGGTTCTTACAGTACGTAGTTGACTTGTTCTAGTGGTATGACCTCGGCACTGATAACCAAGGCCGACACAATTCTCCCAAGGAACTCTTAGTTATTGCCACATACTTCGATGTAAATTTGTCGTATCTTCAGGGGAATGACGCGTTGTGTCGAATCGCATCAAACATTTTCTGCAGCGAGTTGACTCGCTTGTAGGCCGCGTAAGCTTCACGAAAACCGTCACCGTAGATCGGACATACATCGTTTTGAAGTTGTCGCTTGTAAAACTTACGCAATCGACCTTCATAGGTGCGTTTCTTGGAGTTTTTGCTCTCCATCATGTGCTTGTACTTCAGGAATAGATAGCTCATCAACTGGCACATTCCTTCCTCGATCTGATCCAAGCAAAGTCACTGTCAGTCCAGATATCACACTACTACAGGCACACAGGGAAAGCTTACCTTAGGCGGAATATGATCAGGAAAGTCATCGCTGAGCTTGATAAATGCATGGGTAGCTTCGTGAACCAAAATAGAAGCTGTAAGGTCGTACGGAAGGCCATGAAGTATCAGGATAGCGTTCACCGAGCGAGTCTGTTGCACCAACAACGTTTTTGCATTTTAGCAACCAGGTACGATGAGATCGATCGGTTCAGTGCAAATGCTGACCTTCTCAATGGAGGCAACTTGGCGAACCGCCTGCTTCCCAGACCGGACCATGTGCTGGATTTGGGACACCTCCGAGAGGCAAAGGCCGCGAGTCTCGTGGCCTTTCACGGGTTTGTTACCATTCATCAATGCTTTCTTGTGAGCACTGCGATGCTCGTTCAGCACAGGAGATTCCACCAGATAAACTGGAATCTTTTGACATGCAACGCATTAGCACACATAATTTTCCATGATCGTGTACAGCAGTTAACGAACCTCAGGAAGATTTATGCCGATACTCTTCATATACGCCCAAACTTCCTTCACCACACCTTCTGCCTGCCATGTACAATTTATATCACACCAGCGACATGAGTAAAGAGAGCAACACATACACAACAATCTGCTGCAGTTTCTCCGGGCAGTACCTCTTTCGTATCAAGCACAAAATACTTGCAGCAGTCGTGGCAAACCTTGCGTCCATCACTGAGACTGTGGAATTGCCGGCTTGGATTTTTCGGCTATTGGTAAAACACGTCAACTCAAGTATTGGCACAACTATGTGATAATCGGTACGAACCTCGACGCGCTGGCAACTGCAGCAGCGATCGCAATTTTCATGCTCGGCGCAGTATTTCAGGTCCGAAAAGGGCATCACCTGCATGAACGCCATTGTGCCGTAAGCAAATTGTCTACTTTTGTTGCACATGGTACAAGCAAGCGTACCTTAAAGGATATCTTCTGAGTGCCTGGTTCGTATGGGATAAAGTCCTCACAAACATCGCATCTTATCACAAGTTTCAAACGAATGTCAGTACAATACATCCTCCCCGTGATCATACAAAATCTACTACAGTTACAAACCGCGGATGGAAGAGCTGCTTGTAGCACTCATAGTCGTAGAACTCGCCGTCCTTGACTTGAAACTTGTTACTTGTAAACTTTTCATGGCACGCAGTGCAACGGAAACAATCTGGATGGTACACTTTGCCGTTTACATTGGTGCGAGCTCCATACCTAACATCAAAACAGTTAGTCACATTTCCTTATATCCCTTCATCATTAACACTTGTATCAGCATTGTACTTGATCTCTCCCTGACACCCAGAACACTGAAAGATGCGGACAGCATCGCACGCAGCACAGGACGAAGCTGCGTCATTAATATTGAAAAACGTGCAAGTGGAGCACCTCCATCCATCACCGTGAGCAACATCATGTCCAGTAGTATCTCCAATAGTTTTGACGTTGGTCTTGCTCTTACACTTGTTGTTTGGCACTGATGTACCCCCACTTTCTTCTTTTTTGGTGGTCGTAATCTTGGTCATGGTTTTAGATTTGGATGCACATTCTGGATGATAATTACTTCCATTTACTACTTGAAAGCGACTTGATAGAGGTTTCTTGCAACTGTTACAGCAAAAACAATCAGGATGATATGTTTTTCCATTAACATGAAGACGTTTGCCATATCTATAGTAAAAAATAAATAACAAAAATAGAAATGAGTTAGTCGATGATAAGAAAAAATTGTGGACCAAAGAGAGAAAAAATCAACCGACTTGATGTCGTTTTTGCATGTAGGACATTCAAGGACACGAAGGGCGTTGCAAATGTCACAATTAGCAGCTGATTCATTGACAATTTGACATTTGCATTGCATACAAGTCCATGTCATAATGTCGTTTTTTGAATAATGATAAAAAATCGAAAACTGACTCACGACCTGATTTAAAAAAATCTCATTCCTGATCACGACATAAAGAAGTGCTTTTTTATATAGAGACATTCGAAAAAAGTGAAAGTTTCTTCACTTAAGACGTATTATAACTAGATAGAGATAATTTTAGATCAAATAATTTGAGAAGAAAAAGTGTGCTAGTAGAATTAATGGACATAGCAATCATTTGCCTTCTTATAAATTCAAGACGATATTCTGAGGATTCTCATCGACAGGCTTTGCCACTAGTTAAGGATAGTCATTCTGTTCTACCTAATGAGTAGTAGTACTAAGGCTTCATATTTGTAGGAATATGAGATCGACCAAAGGTGGTTCTCGTTTGCGTCAGGTCCTAGCTGCGAGGCTTTTCTAGCGAAGTGATGTCTAAACATTCTCAATTGCAAAAGCTTGTTGCTTCATTGGTGACATAATCCACGTATCTCCTCACTTTACAACGGACGTTTATGCTGGAGGGAAGCGATTACTGCTTACAAATGTAGTGCAGAGATATCGTCAGATTTATACCAAGGTCACAAGCTGCTTTGATTTGGCGCTGCTCAATATCTCAACCCGAAGAGTTTCGAAAGTGGACGCGAAAGATCCCGAAGAAGGTATGCTAATGGTGGCGAGATCGAAAGTGACGCTGGCAGGTATGAGACTTGTGCTCGCATTGCAGTGTGGTTCTAAACAATTAGGGGCGCCTGCGGGTACAGATGCACAATATTTGGTGAAGCGAGCAGCGATGGTGGTTTACATGCAAGAAGTTCTGTAGCTTCACTTCCAAAATGTGCGACTTGTTCGATCGCCGCCAAAACCCGTGTAGCATGACGATGCACCATGTCAATTGCAATTCGCTTGATGATGGAGGGTGTACTTGCTGGTTGCTGTGTCCCCAAACATATCACAGTTGAGATGCAGAAGCAGAGGAGATGCTGAAGTTCTACATGAGACCCGGCAAGATAGGCAGTGATAACGGTAGGTAGTCGAAAGAGTTTGAGATTATGTGCTAAGCCGAGTGCAGCTCTCCTACCGAGCACCAAAGTTGCTCTGCCATAAGTTAAAATGCGCCGATAGAATATCCACTACATCTCTCAGTTCTTTGTTACTTGTGCACTACATAATGATACCTTGGCAGGTGCGAGGTCATGCAGCTTTTGAGCAGTGTAGCTCAATTGGATGCTTGGCGTACGTTAAGGATAACCTAAAGCATCGTCACTTGGTCAAACGGCAATACACTGACGCTAGCGACGCTAGAAAGACATGCAGCTCATATTGAGTCATACGCGTGACAGAATCAAAAAGCCATTGTCGAACACTGGCATGGAATCGGATCAAGCGCATCAACGGTACTAACTTGAAAGCAATCGACGTAGACACCAAACTTACAAGAGTCAAGATAGCAGCAATGATAAAGTGCCACCATGTTGGTGATTGTCAAGCAATGCACGGGTTGAACCAGTCGATACATTGCTGCATATGAAGCATAAAGTGCTCCGACAGTATGTCGACATTTAAAATCTTCAAAGATTGAGATCCAACTCAGATTCTGTTGAGAACTCTTGCGTGGTGCCCCGTTCGATCTTGTCAGAAGGCCATTCCCCCTTCCCACTCTTGAAGCTACACTTACTAGCTCTTCATTTCCACATTTGCTCAACTCAAAGACAACCGTCTTCAATTCTCAAATCGATTCAACTGCCATGTCCAAGAAATTGACATTTCCCGATGGTTTCATGTGGGGCACAGCCACTGCCGCCTATCAGATTGAAGGTGCTGTGAACGAAGGTGGACGTGGTGATTGCATCTGGGACGCTTTCTCTCGCACCCCGGGCAAGGTCGTGAATGGCGATACTGGTGACAAGGCCGTAGATCATTATCATCTCTATAAACAAGACGTGCAGTTGATGAAAAAGATGGGGCTTCAAGCTTATCGTCTTTCTATCGCCTGGCCACGTATCATTCCTGCTGGCATTGGCAAAGTGAATGAGGAAGGTGTCGAGTTCTATAACAATCTGATCAATGAACTACTGGACAATGATATCATACCACTCGTGACGCTGTACCATTGGGATCTGCCATTGGCATTGCAGACAGAGTACGATGGCTGGCTTGGTAATACATTCATTCAGGAGGCCTTTACGCAGTATGCACGTGTGTGTTTTCAACGCTTTGGGGATCGAGTCAAGAACTGGTTGACACTGAATGAACCGTGGTGTGCGGCCTTTTTGGGCTATGGCAATGGTATCCACGCTCCAGGACGCAAGAGCAAACCGCAGACAGAGGCTTATCTCGCTGGTCATAACATGCTGCTAGCCCATGCACGAGCCGTGGAAGCCTATCGCAATGAGTTTCAAGCCGTACAGAAGGGCAAGATTGGCATTACACTTAATTGTGACTGGCGTGAACCAGCACCGACAGAGGACCCGGTGCAAAAGGTCAAGAACGAGGAGGCTGCTGAACGTTCGCTGCTCTTTTCCCTCGGATGGTTTGCTGATCCGGTCTACAAAGGAGATTACCCACAAGTTATAAAGAACCGCTGTGGACTCCGTCTACCAAAGTTTACGGAAGAGGAGAAGAAGTTACTGAAAGGCAGCTCGGACTTCTTCGGTCTTAACCACTACGGACTCAACTACGTTGAGCCATCGGCTGAGTACGACGCCAAGATCCCGCCGCCGAACGACAGCACTGGCGGTCTTGGACCTGATGAAGGAACGAAGCTGACATCTGATGACTCCTGGAAACGCACAGATATGGGCTGGAACGCTGCTGGATGGGGCTTCCAGAAACTATTGGTCTGGATTCAGAAGCGCTACGCGGTTCCGAATGGTATTCTGGTCACGGAGAATGGATGCGCTTGGCCAGATCGCACAAAAGAGGAGGCTCAGAACGACGACTTCCGTGTCGAGTATTACAAGGAATACCTTACGGGTCTACATAACGCTTTGGCGGAAGGTGCAGATGTGCGTGGATACTTTGCTTGGTCTTTCGTGGACAACTACGAGTGGGCCGAGGGCTACACAAAGCGGTTTGGGCTCCATTGGGTCAACTACGAGACCATGGAGCGTACGCCGAAAAAGTCGGCGCTTTGGTACGGCGATGTCATCCGCAATAACGGGTTTTCTACTACCGCCTAGACTTGAAGATCAGCTTTAAGGTTCGACGTTAAAGCTAGACATCTGAGGATGGAGTATAGCGGAAGCTCTCAAATCAAGACGCATGTGGCAGTGGTATAAGAGTGAAACTTGGATAGTACGGAGAGCAAACCAGCATTACTACTATCTATCTTGTAGTACATTGAAAATCAAAGTTCAACAGCTACACCATACGCCATTTCCAATACCATCGGATGATCTCGAGATTAAGCTCATTTATTTACTCCGCTAGACTTGCACACCAACCAGGACGCCTTATCCTTAGACAGCTCATTGAGAGGCTCATGCCCTCCAGATACTTTTTTCACTACATCTGGTTACAGCCCAAATTTAATGGGCATTTTGCAGTCGTGTACATCACAAAGGGCTCGAAATGTGGCATGTACACTTAGCTGCGCTTCTATCTTGATTCCTTGTTGAGGGTAGCTAGTCAATAACTTCTACAGAAACTACGTAGCCCTGTATTGGTCTCAGACACGCCTTCGATGCTTATAGGGCGATGTGTACAATGTTCAGACTGAAACATGATCCAAACTCTTCTAGCAATTGCAGGTTTGCGCAAAAGGTACGGCCTTTTGCGGTATGATCGATCATGCCTCAGCATGCAGTAGTATTGTTCCTGCACCACAACGGCAAGAAACTTATTGGTCCTTAAAAAAATTGCGTCTGGACGCATCTTTGTCGTTCGTCTACCCAGACAGTTTCTCTACAGTAGCTCGAATCTTTGCTGAGCGATGCAAGTATATGGCGACCATATGCGCAGTCCTTCTAGGAAGAGTCAAAATAGCTATAAGAAATCAAGTAGAGCCCAAACTATCTTACCCTGAGATTGAGTCCCATTACACGAGATATCCAAAGCCATTTTTTTGGCTTACGACAGTATGCTGCTCAGCAAATTGCCTCCAGACGCAAATAGTGATAAGAACATGTTTGCTTGGCTTACTCATTTTGCTTAGCATTGTCCGTGTTGGAGCCTGTAAACTCAAAATTTGAAACAACAAAAGTGATCACTGACAACACAAGAACAGACGAGTGTCGAGTTATTTGCAGCTATCATGCATTACACATTTGTATTGCAGCTGCTGTCCGTGTCAATGGCACATTTCCTGCTGGATGTAGCAGTAAGATCCCACTCGAATGTCGTTGATCAAGCAGGAAACTGCCTAATCCTCATGACGCTGGGCCTTGATCAGTTGCTTCTTCATAGCGTGGAAACGAAGTAACATCCTACAACAGACAGTAACCGAGCAACATTAACATCAATTTTCATCTTCCACTCTCCCTTTTCTTCCAACCAAATGCTCGATGACGCACCAGTAAATGGTAAAAGTAAGCGCACTGATCCACCAATTTCTCTCCGATCGCCATCGCGAGGCTTTTTTCTAGGTATCCGTACACCACATTACATTTGAAGAGCATATCTTTTTACTCTTGACATTTTATAACGTGACAAACCTGTAAATCAGCCGAGTAATGCGCTTCGAGGTGTGGATCCGAGTGCATTGCGTACCGTTTCTGTAGGTCGTACGTCTGAGCCGCCAGCACGACAAAAGAAACGGCGGTAATGACAGAAAAGATACTCAATGTGCCAATGCGGATATTGAACACAAAATCGCCAAATTTAACGACCCCACGATTCAACATGAGACCCGGGAAGGGGATCGTCATTAAGAATAACCTACAGTTGTAGAGCAATTGTTATATCTTGGCGAAAAAGCATCGGATTATACCGTAAATTGCACGTACAGAATCACTGCAGGCGGTAGCAAGAGATAGGTAAAAGACGACCACATGGACGTCATATTGAGTCTAGGAGAGGGGAGGAGAGTTTTGTGCGCAAGTTGATACAGTTCTGATTCTTTTTTAGGTGGTTTTTAAGAAATGAGGGTTTTTGTATGGGACGATCTTTTAGCTTAGTATGTAATATGAGAGGTACCAAAATATCAGAGGAATAAAAATATGCAGGCCTAAACATGCCAAGGAGATTTTTTGACCATCATTCTGATACACAGTAGGTCGTTTTGTCACTTCAACTTGGTGGAATGGTTACAAGTCGACCATAACGAGTAGTTTTTCTTAGCTTAAGCAACAATAATGCACGACAAATAAAAAATATATACGTCTTACTAGCTGCATGTGAATTTCTGTCTAATTGGCTTTTTGTCAAGCACTTTGAAATAAAAACAATGGTATATGGGACGAGGGTGGATGCCGGACCCCATTCAAACAAAAATCAGCTACTTAGTCGTAATGGATGCCAGTTGGGTGGGTGGAAGACGTAGTGTTCAGTCTGTGGATCAGCTCTCGTATATACGATCGAGCATTGCGGAAGAAGAAGAGAATGAAAGGGTTATTCACACTCCAATGCGAAAGGCTGACGAGGATGAAGTAGGAGGAAATGGACTAGCACTCCGACCCGGTAACGTCCCAAACTTATATCATTGGCGTCATATCGGATTGCTAGTGCAATATGCAGCTGTAGGCATGTTGTACGGTGGACTGCCTCGCACGGTGTACCCATTTTTGAATAACTATCTGCACTTAGACGGCTATCAGACGCTCTCGGCACGTGTGTTGCTTTCACTGCCTTGGTCGTTCAAAGTGATGATTGGAATTGTGTCGGATTGTTTTCCCATCTTACGCTCTCGTCGTCGTGCTTACATGGTTGTGGGGTGGCTATTGTGTTCGAGTATGCTGCTAATTCTTGTTTTCGTGAACCAAGAGCCACCATTCTACATCGACTCAAGTCTACGAGGCAAAGACCTCTCGAAGTTATCGCCTGATGAGCTTAAAGACCGAGTCAACTGGCAGGCACCAAGCTCGGGATCTCTTTACATTGTGTTGATGATGCTAGCAAGTTTGGGTTACATGATCGCCGATGTGGCTTCCGATGGTCTTGTGGTGGAATTTGCACAGCGTGAGCCAGAAAACATTCGTGGTAACATTCAGTCTACTGTCTACCTCGTGCGCAGTGTTGCAATGATTTTTGCAGCGTTACTTGTTGGGTTCGGCCTAAATAGCGAAGACTATGGAGGATCGTTCTCGTGGTCGTTTACCATGAGCCAGCTCATGCTGATCTTTTCTTTGCTGAGTTTGACAGCGATCCCTGCTGCGCTATGGCTGGTACAGGAACCGTCACTAGGTGACCGTGTACCGTGTTTTGGTGAGTACATGCGTGGTCTATGGGTGCTGATCCAGAACTCCGCCGTAGTTCAAATCTTGGCTTATCGATTTTTCAGTGGGATCTTTGATGGCTTTACGATCACTGCAGGTGACCCAATTCAGCGATACTGGGCTCAAGTACACCCGCTTAACGAGAGTTTGTTCTCCGTGCTCGGGCTTGCCGTTTTCAGTGCAGCACTGTATTTAACGAAGCGCATTGGGTTGAATTGGTGCTGGCGAAGCGTCATTGCATGGACGACTGTCTCGGTGATTGTTCTGGATGCGATCGTGGGAATGTTGACCGTTTGGGACGTGGTGCGTAGCCAGTGGTTCTGGTTGGGCACACCAATTTTGGAGGAGCTACCGCAAGCTATGAATTTTCTTATCTCGACATTTGTCGTAGTGGAGCTAGCTGAGCTTGGCAATGAAGCTGCTGTGTATGGATTGCTGACTACTATAAGCAATTTGTCTAGTCCATTTTCCTCTTGCATCTCCAAGAATGTCAATGCGCTGTTTGACGTGAGCGTGACGGACATCATTCAAGACTCAAAACATGTGCGTTGGCAAGTTACTTGGACGTTTGTTATTGCGTATATTATGAAACTACTGTCACTTGCGTGGCTCCCATTGCTTCCACGTCAGAAGCGAGAGACTCAAGAGCTTAAGCGACATGCCCGTTCGTGGTTTTGGGGAGGTATTGCAAGTATCTCTATCTTTACTTTTGCACTATTGTGGTCTGTGATTACCAATCTTTTTTCAATCTTTCCAAGCACGGCGTGTCTCGTTCTTGCTGGTGGCTCCGGGTGCAAGTAGTAAGTCCACTTGACCATGGTGAATACCTTTTATGAGGAATATCCAGCCTCGTAGGGGTTTTAATAATGCAATTATCAGCCAATGAATGTTCTCCGTTTCCTCAAAAACAATGTCCAAACGATTAACTCATTCACAACGAGGAGCTCCGTCCAGATGCTGCGTCTCTTATCTCCATCCGTTGCCCGCGCTGCACAAAAGTCGGTGCTGCAACAGCGGTCACGTGCACTGCAAATTGTGTCTCGTCCTATGCGTAATTTTACGTCGACGCGCTCTTGTTTGAACCCAGAAAAGGTGACACAGTCGCTAAGAACGATTTCCACGAGTTTGTAATGGGAAATTGTATGTTCTGATTGAATGATGTTAATGCAATGACAGCCAATTACACAAGCTACTATGGAGGGGAAGAAAGCCCCGGATGCACTGGTGCTTTCGCCCTATGAGAAGGTGACGGCCACTGCAACTGGTGGGTTCTGGCTCGGTCTCATTGGTTTGGGAGCAGTCGGAGTTTACTTTATTGCACGTGAACTTTTACCAAAGTACGTAAAGATTTAAAGCATTGATGAAAGGCAGGAGATGCTGACAGGTGATTTTGGTGGTTGTGCAGTCGTATGAGCCCAAACGGCCTCTTCAGTGAGTCGCTGGACTTTGTCTCGGACAATACGGACGTAAGTTAATGCAGTGATTGCGGTTGGTATGATGGACCAAAGAGCTCTGAGCTGATAAGGTTGTGGAGTTCTGACGTTAGGTGACTTCGCGTCTGGGTCTGCCGATTCACGGCTATGGACACGACCATGGTGGCCATCGTGAAGGCCGTCGTAACCGCATTGAGCACGTGAACCTTACAGGCAAGGACGGTACCCCGCGTCTTCGTATCAAGTATAACATCAAGGGCCCGTCAGGTCACGCCTATGTGTTTGCTGAGGTGAACCAGGGCATGAAGAAAAACGAGTACGTGTACCTCATTGTACAGGTGACGAAGACTGGCGAGCTACTCAAGATTGTTGACAACCGACAGATCCTTTCGGCTGAGACGAAGGAAGAACAAGACGCTCTCCGCCAGCTACTTGGCAAGTAAGTAGCCACTCATGTAACGAGTCGGCTCTTAAGCTGCTTCTGGTTCGAATCACTATAGTTTCGGTAGTGAAGCAGTCAAACTCTTTCCATTGGTATGGAGATCTAGTCTTTTTGGTCCATAACTGTTCGTCTATAGCATACACTACTTGAAGCAGATGTTACTTCATCCTGTCGTTACTTCAGCTCTATAATAGTAGGACCTCATTATTAAAAATCAAATCAAACAAATGGCGGACGATTTTGAGTCGCCATGGGTGGAAAAGTATCGTCCACTTGTGCTGGCGGATGTCGTTGGTAATCGTGATACGATTGCAAGTTTACAAGCAATGGCTCGAGCCGGTAATATGACGAATTTGATTCTATCAGGTCCGCCAGGTACGGGCAAAACCACAAGTATCTTGTGTTTGGCACGCGAATTGCTGGGACCAAGCGTAAAGCAGGCGGTATTAGAACTCAATGCATCCGACGACCGCGGTATTGATACTGTACGTAACAAGATCAAGATGTTTGCACAACAGAAAGTGACACTTCCTCCTGGTCGTCATAAGCTCGTGATTCTGGACGAGGCAGACTCGATGACGGCTGCGGCCCAGCAAGCACTACGACGGACGATGGAGATCTTTTCTGCTACTACGAGATTTGCACTGGCCTGTAATAACTCGACAAAGATTATTGAACCAATTCAAAGTCGGTGTGCTATTCTACGTTATACGCGGCTACCGGATGAGATGCTACTGCGTCGACTACTGACAGTCTGTGAGCAGGAGAATGTCGGGTACAAGGAAGAGGGACTGGCTGCTCTTATCTTTACGGCTGAAGGAGATATGCGGAATGCACTGAACAATCTACAGGCTACAGCTAGTGGCTTTAATTTTGTCAGTGATGAGAATGTGTTTAAGGTCTGTGATCAGCCACATCCGGCAGTTGTGAGGGAGATCTTGAATCAGTGTGCGAAGGGGGAATTGGATGGAGCAGAAAATCAGGCGGTTGCGCTCTGGAAGAGCGGCTACTCGTCGCTGGATATCATTGGGACCATCTTTAGAGTGTGTAAAGCGCTGCCAATGGAGGACGAGAAATTGAAGCTTGAGTTTATTAAACTCATTGGAATGACGCACATGTGCATCGCTGATGGCGTTTCGAGTCTGTTACAGATCCATGGTCTTGTAGCACGGCTATGCTCTGCAGCGTTGGCTGCGAAGACGAAAGGATGAGAGAGAGAGAGAAATAGAGATGACATGGGTGGATTGAAACATCTAAGGTGATGCTTGACTTTGTATTCACACAGGAGACCTTCATGATACTTAGGGCATAAATTGTCTAAATGCTTCATACTAGTTACCTGATTCCACGAGCTGCTGGTTATCCGATCAGATTATTCCAGTTGCTCATTTAGAGGCTGTGTCCAAATCAATTAGAAACGAGCTTCATTACATTAGATGTCATTTCTAACGTGTCTCTATTCGAAAGGGATCTACTCCAGTGATTCTTTACTTATGGGCGTGCTGCAAAAGGTGTTGCGACCAGGCAGTCGCGAGTTCGTGGTCGTTCTGAATGTGGTGCTGGCACTGCTGTTCTTCGTGATGCTGACAGTCATTTATACGGAACTGGAGGACTCTTTTCACGTCTTCGTGCTGCTGTTTCTCGTAGTGGGGCTTACGATCTCTATCAATTGGTTTATCATCGAAGCCAACAACCTTCAACACTTTCACGTGGCAGACAGCAACAAGCAGACATCAATTGTTACTTCAAGAGGCAAAACAGACTAAACCCTATCAGCAACTTAAAGAGAGACACAAGTCACACATAAAATCGTTAAGACTTGTCCAATCTTCCATTATATCAGAGATACCCACTACATACTTGAGTCTTATATATCGTCATCTGATACCAACCCAAACGTACGTTTGCAGCAGCTCATGGCAATGCTGCGACCGTAGGGAACGTACGACAGCGTGTACCACACAAGAGCCAGGAATTGCACGAGCACCGACAGTAACACCAGCAATAGTCGGTGGTGAATGTGATGGGAGAAGCAAAACAACAGCGTCACAAAGATAAAGACGACGTAAACGACGGCAGAGTAGCGACGCTTGGCATGGAACATTGTCTGTATTTGTTTCCACGGCCCGACAAAGAAGGTCGTACAGCCAATAGACAGTAAATTGCCAATAGTGTAGCCAACCGCAAAAGGTGCAGGGTTTCCGTGTACCAATCTAGCCAAACGAAAGGTCGAACCAAGCGACAGCAAGAAGCCCAGCATGAAGCACGTTAGGCAACCAATGACGCGTTCTTGATACGATAGACTTGGACACAACCAGAAATTACCATTGGCATTAGGAGAACTTTGCACAGGTGAAGGACCACTTTCGGGGTCAAGCAATTTTTGCTTATGCTCTCGAAATGCATCCATCATGAGCCTTATCCAATAAAGTAAAAGTGAAAGAGAAGAAAGTTGCGTTGAGCTGATTCCAAGCAACATAATAAAAGTATGTAACATATAATTGATATGTTGCCTGGAATCAGATCTGAGTCGAGAAGAGGAGGAGTATTAAATAGAAACGTATCAACCACCAATCCTGTCATGCGTCCGCTGCTGCAGGAAGCTCAGTTCGCATGCTTTGAGAACGATGAGGACGTTTCTTCTAGCACTTCTTCATTGCCGAGCTTTACTATCTCAAGTCCATTGGGGCACTCACCGCCGCCCAAAAAGAGCTTTGCTCGTGGTAATCCTCATGTATTTCCAACTGCCATTTCTAACGTCACGTTGTGTCATTTCTAACTACTGTTTCTAATTTATAGTCCGTGCATTAGAATGCAGTGGCTCGGGCAGTTTCTATTTCCAAAATGAAAATTTACGTGATCGTTTCGTATGTTGGCGAGTGTTAAAAAACGTGGTTTTACTGCGAGAATGGAGTTTAAACACGACGTTAAAACAAAATGGCATTCGACTGGAATTTCCAGCTCCTGTTGTTTCTACTGGAGTTTTTGCAGTGGAAAACTGGACAGACGATGCAGTGACAATCAATGTCGTGACACACGCTGGGACAATCCATCGGTTGACGTATTCCGTGCCGAGTTTAAACAATTTTAGCATTTTTTCACAATCGGATGTTTCAGCTTTTCCCGAGCCAAAACCAGCGACTTTCAGTCGTTGTGATGTATTGGAGAGTTTAAACAGTGATGAAATTTTGACTGTTGCTTTATGGGTAAACGAGTATAATCTCGTCGTAGGGACTGATGCAGGTCGTGTCCTTGGTGTAAACTTTGGACTACCGACGGATGCCAAAAACCTGCAAGAATTTATATTTTCCGACGAGTCCGTGGTGAGCTGGATCTGGCATGGACTGATTAAATCAACAGCAGCCAAATTAAAGGGCAGCACGGAAGAAACTACAAGAAAAGAGGTCGGCGCAGCGGTTGTAGCTATGACGTGTTTTCAGATTGAAGGAGAGGAAGATGATGACGGAAATAATAAAGACGTTTGCGTCGTCACGATCTCGGCTAATTGTGTGTTGCGAGCATGGAGTTTCTGTTCCCAGTCGTGTCTTGGACGACAACAGCTCCGGACGTTAGTAATGCCTCAATCTAATGAGAATGATGAGGATAATGAGGAAGCAGGTTGGAACGACAAGGATCTGGATGGCGATGATGGATTGAGTAGCAGTGGCATCTATGCTACTCATGCAAAAGTTATCGCACTGCCCCCGACAGAATCGGATAATTGCAGATTATTAGTGCATTTGGATGCTACAGCAGCGCATTCTTCAGAGATTTTTTTGCTAAGAGGTGACGTGCAGCTTGCTGCTGTGTCGAGTGCTGGATCAAATGACGACGAACTTGCGCTGGAAATTGCAAGGGTTTTTACTGTGCAGGCACCGGAGCAAAAAGTGAAGCGTGGACTTAAGATGGTGGATTTTGCTGTCGACAAGAACTTTCTCTTTTCATCGTGGCGTTCACTGGAAGGAGACGAGGTGTACATCCACCCAAACCCGATGGCGCTTACAGGTCCAAAACGCATTATAGGTCAACTTGTTAGTAGTCTTGATCTGCAGATGCAAAAGTATGAGATTGAGGACAATGAGTGGCTCTTTGACCTGAAGGAGAAAGGTGCAGGGGTGCTTATTGATGATTTCTTTGTCGAGCGGATACTTTTGCCTGGGCGCTTCTCGCGACAGAATCTGTCGAGTGCTATCGTGGAAGCACAAAACAGCGCACTGGGTAGTGCCAATTCTCATTCGCCGTTTTCTCATCGTTTGTCCAAGTATAAAGACGAGTTGGTTCGACTTGTGTCAAGCCGATTGATGGATACGGATAGTGCTGCCAGTGTCTGCAATGGATCAGCGCCAAGTATGCTGCGCATCAGGGTTTGGAAAGAGCTTATTGCGCTGTGCACGAAGTATTGGCGGTGCGAAAACGTGCCAATTGGCTTTGCTACGACGACAAACGCGCTTCTTCCTGGCGCACCTGTGATGCTGCGCCGGAATTGTGTATCGCTGTTGTTTCCATCTGCATCATCAATCACTGCCGCATTTATCTCACCAGCAGAGCAAGGCTCAACTAGTAAAGAGTGCGTGGCTGATTTAGTATGTGAAGTTCTCCCGATTTTTGACGCATTTTCTAGCCAAAGTTTCCAGACCTGTGTTCACCGCGAAGTTGCTGATGTATCCTCCGATTGGAAAGTAAAGTCCTTTGTGGCTTTGGCGCGCCACTGTGTGCGTCTCGGTCTAAAACCGAATTTTGCGGCTAGCGCCTCTGATACTGGGCAAATTGTCAGTGCTGATCTCGTTCTCACCCGCGCGATTTTACGCTTAAGCAAGCTGATAGGTGGTGATGGCACTTTCCAAGACCAAGTGTTCCATGACCTGGTAGAGCACTTGTTCCCATTTGACCTTTGGCATGGTCCAGGAACGCACACATCATCGTCGCCGAAGCGTGAAAGCAGCCCAATAAGTAATGACGACATGGACACAATTACCGACAAGGAAGATTTTGTGATGGCAGATGCCGCTGCTCCGAGCGATTACTACTCGACTAGCCGCAGAGCATTTTTCGCCGCCCATGAAATGTGCTTTGCTTTCGCCCAGGTCGCGTCACGCACAATCGACGAAATGTGCAACCAGTCACTTCGTGTAGTGCTCTTTCTAGCGTATTTGGTGGACAGTCGACCCGCATTTTTAGGCACTCGGACGTTGAGCACGATCGTGCAAGTGTACCTGCCTAAATCTATCACAGTGTATCAGCGTTGGCGGCTCAACAAGTGGGTCGTTAGCCAAGGTATCACACAGTTAATTGCTGATTCAGATCCTGCTATCACATTGTCGGCTACGCTCATGCCGTCTTTGCTGCAAACTTTCGTTATGGACGTGAACAAAAAACTAAACGGATCAAACAAATTTAAGCGAGCGCTTTCGGTATTGCAGATCGCTAGCGCTAGCGACAACGTCCGTAGCGAAGAAGTACATGGCGTGTTGGCAACGTATACATGCGATATCCTGCAGAAAGTTTCTCAGCCCAACGACTTGCTCGTGCATTTCCTACAGAAGCAACAGCAGTTCCGACTTTTGCGTGCATTGTTCTGTTGTAATCTCAGCGACATCAGTCTGCACGGCTTCAGCAAGAAAGAAGCTGCCAGCACTCAGCGAGGCGACCAGGTGCACAAGTGCGTGCGCTCAATCGGTGAGTGCCTAGCTTGCGAAGGCCAAGAGGCTGCAGCGCGCTCTCACGACGATGCGGACGCACGTGACCATGCTCGTTGGTGTTTCCAACAAGCTGTTCGCTGCTTCAGTATTTGCCTGTCGGACTTTTTCGTTGAGCGGAATCACCGGTCCTCGCTGTCAGAGAAGGCTCTGGAGCACTTTATTTACGAGGTGATCGGTTTGCTCAAGGAGAAGGTGCCCCGTGGGTTTTACGACCAACTCCTTGGCTTCCTTTGGACCGTGGTCACACAGGCAATGAGCCGTTTGGCCCACCATTACGACAGTGAGCCGAGTTTTGCGGTGCAATCCTTCATCTGGGTTAATGTGTTTAAGTATTCCGTTGAAGAGCGACTCTTTCGCGACGCGCATTTGGCGCTCATGCACACGTTGGAACACTCGGCAACCTCGGGGGAGGCTGGTGCGGAAGCAGAGGGAACGGCAAGTGAATGCGTAAACTACCTGATGAAGGAATTGTACCGCTATGGACACCTTGATCTTATCTGTGAATTGCGATGGGGATCTCTGGAGACACACGTCGAGAAGTATATTCTATGGCAAGCGGCTCACGCCACTGTCATCCAGGGCAATGACCTCGATTTGAGTGCTGTCCGTTACTATAATTTGCTCTTCACATTCTACATGCGCAAGCAGCAGCCAGCAAATGCAGCATCTTCGCTGTATGCTCTTGCGCTACATTTACGACTCGGAGTATCGACATCGAAGGCAGCTCTCGAGGCACAGCGCAACGCTCTGAATGCAGCCTGCAACACGCTGCTAGCGCTTCCTGTTGAGAACCGCTGGGTTGTGCGCAAGCTACACGCAGCGGAGCTCAAACCTTCTTCATTAGGCGCTTCTCAACAAAGCAAGTTTTCACCATCTTCTACTGTAACTACGCTAGAGGATATGAAACATGAGATGGCTGTGGTTGATGGCAAGCTTCGTTTATTAACACTGGGTCACTCGGAGAGTGTGCTCTTGAGCACGATGGATGGAGACGAGGTGATTGCTTTGCTATTAGATGCGGTCCATAGCAGTTGCCATAAGCCAGGAAACATGACGCTAGCTGAGCGCCGAAGAGCTAACATGTGTTCGATCGAGATGGCTGCTGAGATTGCGGGCAGAAGCTCGGTGGCTAGTTTGTCTGGTCTGACGAAGTCCTTGACTCGCTACTGCGTGGCCAGCGAGCGTTCTACTCTGTCGTCCTCCGTCATCCGATCCGATGGTAATTTGTTATGGGAACTACTCGAGCTTTTGCTGGCTAATGCGGGATCACTAGCGCAATATGAGGTCGCTGCTGAGACAGTATTGGACTTCTGGCAGCAACAAGGACGCAAACTTGCTCTTCCTGTGTGGCTTAATGAGCGGTTGGCGAACCCAACGTCCGGAAACCCAGCCATGCTGCTAAAATTGTACCTGAAGCATGGCCTACTACTAGAAGGGTTGCAGCTTGTCGAGAGTCTAGTGGTAGATGCCGTCGCCATTGGCAGACGAAGTGTTACGACCAATTCCAGTATCCAGTCGCAGATGAAGTCGAGCCCTAGCTTGTCGAGGCTTCCGTGGATTCCGTACAGTCTCGTCGATGCGCTCTTGGACTCGACGGCAGCAGTGCTGAACCAGGATGTAAGTGGCGGTGTCTCGCCTGCCGCGGTAGCGAAACTGCGCGAACGAGATCGCTCCCTTCGTCACCAGTTGTCTCGATACTTTCACTCGATTAGTGCTCTCCAGCAAGCACAAGAAGCAAGTCTCGTGCGTAGTAGCATTGACTTGGACTTGTAGACGCGTTTTAAGTTGGCTGGTGTTCGATTCAGATGACGTTGTGAACACTTCAACTTGGAATTGAGGTACATCTTCATGAAATGAGCAAGTCTCTTGGTCGGTTGATGCAGCTTTCTATCTTTCCCTACGCTATGCTAAAAGGTTACGATCGTCGCGGCTGCTTCGACATTTTTCTCTTAGTCTGCTTGGAGTCATTCGCCTGCTTGGCCAGAGCCTCCTTCACAATCTGGTCGTAGTCATCAGCGCTGGCAAACATCGCCTTGCGCTTATCACCTGCCTTTGGTGGTGTTTGTTTCGTCCTCTTGGCATCCAGCTTCTGTAGCTCCTCTTGCAGCGCTTCATCGTCATCATCCATCTCGGCTATAACTGAAAAGTCAAAGGCATCCTCATCGTCTTTCATATCATCCCCCTCTTCGTCTTCGGCTTCAACATCTTCATCGTCTCCGGCATTTTCGTTTACAGTGTCGTCAGTAATGTCTTCAGCCTCCATCGTCTCCTCGTCCTCACCGTCCAGTGTCGGCTCCTCGTCATCGTCTGAACCACTCCAGTTGGCCATGTCAGGGTCTTCATCGTCCAGGTTGCCGTCCGCCATGATACCCTTGGCCAACTCTTGCGCATAAGCTTCGATCTCTTCATCATCTTCGCCGCCATCCTCCATGTCAGAGAGAGCGTCACCGTCGCGCTCATCTTTTACTTTCTTGGTGCGGCGGGTACCAGGATGATCAGCATCACGAGAAGCACGCTCCTTGAAGAACTTGTAAAAGAACTGATCGCTTGCGTCCACATTGGCCACGTTCGCCCGCAGCACGGCCTCTGTGTTAATCGGAGCAAACGTCCAGTTTTTTGCCTTTGCACCAGTATTGCCACTCGCGTCAGCCACTTTATGGCGTGGCTTCTTGTTGACGAACTTCTCAAAAAATGCGTGCATCGTAAAGTCAACGAGAGGGTCTCCAGCATACTGAATGCCAATATCCTTGTTGTCTAGAAGCTGCCGGGTGAAACTCTGCACGGACGGGTGATAGTGGTGAGCCAACAGCTGAAGCTCCCAAGCACACGATATCTCAGCGCCGGCGAACAGTGGATTACGTTTGGAGGCATTGTAGCCACCTTCGTTCAAGTCATCTCCAGCTATCTTCTTGCTGAGCGCGATCTTCACGGCAGGTTCATCGTCAAAGCATACAACAGCAGCGCCCTTAGACTTCGTCATCTCCTTTCCCGGCTTGCCAAACATCACCGCCAAGACCTTAGCTGCACGCTCCGCATCCGTTAAACCATCGTTTAGCTTATCCAATCCAGCTTCTTCTGTGGTGTCGTCATCATCGTCATCAGATTCCTCCTTCTCAAGCTCATATGCAGAGTCTTCCAATTTCGCATCGACAAATTGTTCGTCATCAGCAGCATTGCCATTGACCGAGCCAGCCTCGGGCTGGTCAATCAATGTACGAAGCTGGGGTTTCACCTTAAGCAGCTCAGACAACAGAAAAAGAACAGCACACGTAAAAGCCGGAGGCATTATGCTAGCAAGCTGCAGCAAACGCTTGATAAAGGCATTGGCGCGCGCAGGGGACACATCTGCCTTCATAGCGCGAAAAATCAAGTTCAGGAAAAGCGTATGTTTGGACGTCTCGCGCACCTTGGGATCAATAAGCTTGCCGTATAGCGCAGTGTAAAAACGATCGGAAACTGAGTTAGTGCTGTTCATGACCTGAAACAGCAGCATGAGTGCCTGTACACTAGTAGTGTGGTGGGCACGGTGCACGACCTGAAACAACGAGTCGATCTCCTCGGTGAAGTTAGCCGATGTGGCTTTTGCATATGGGAATGCACGATTCACACCGACGAGGAGCGCACTCAGCAGCTTGCGGTCCATGGCTTCTTCCGAAGTCAGACCAGCGATTTTCTTCTTCTTGCCATTCTTTCCCTTCTTGCCATTCTTCACCTCATTCTTCACCTTCTTCTTCTCCTCATCATGACGGCGCACTTCCTTTGAGAAAAGACCGAAGTACACTGAGATCAAATGACCAGCTAAATCGGCATCCGCTTCTACACCGTCGAGATAAATCTGGTTTAAGAAGAGCACGGCATTGTATTTAGCCCGGTCCGACACCTTCGGACGGGTAAGCAACCTCTCCACCTCATTCACCACCACACGTTTCATAACTGGATGCTCTTGAAGTAGTTCCTGCAGCATGCGATGCAGATACGCCGCAATCTTGCGGTCCGGGTCACCAAGTTTGTTAACCAGCATGGCCAGCAGCACCGCCTCCTGCTCGGGCTTCGCACGTAGCAATGCGTTGGCCGCACGTAGACACGTGCGTTTGTGACTGTCGACTGCATCGTCCATACCGGATGCCAAGACACCTGTAAGTTGTGCGTACACCGTCTTGAGACAATGTTCAAAGAACCAGAGCACCAAATGAGCAGGTGATGATTGCGCCGCACGCAGCGGATGTTGATGAAAGAATCGGAGCTTGGCATTGTCCGGTAAGAGATCGTTTAAGAAGAGATCTTTGAGGGAATCAATAGCCATGAGACTCTCACGACGAGATTTCTTACTAGCCATTGTAATGAGCTGACCAAGTCGTAGCAACGAGTGCAATGGAGAAGCTTGAGACGTGAGTGTAAGAGCAGCCACTCGATCCGATAAAGTACCGGCCTTCATCATTGTCGCCAAGTATTTGTCATCACTGGACATTTTGCTGCTCTTTTGTGTCTCGTACCGTGTCACTTCATGCTCAAGCAGCTGCTGCGCCTGTTTCTTGAGCGTCACCACCAGCTCATCTGAGGCTTGAAGTGGCTCGTCTCCTGTCTCAATCTTGTACTTGATCTTTGGCTTCAGCTTCGGCTCAGCGTCGTACCAGGCCACACCTTGTTCATCTAGTAATGTCACTAATTGAGTCACAGGATTCCGTTCCAGCTTGTTTTCTCCATTATCAGACACTTTCTGAACCTGATTCTTGCGTGAATAACTAGATATAGACGTCTTCTTGATAGTCATGTGCTTTTTCTTGTGTCTTAGAGCTACGTCTGTCTTGGAGCTCAACTTTTTATCCAGAACCATTTCAATAACGACAAGAAGAATCACTTATCGACTTGTTTGAAACCAGCCAATCATTAATACTATGAATTGGAATATATCGACAGTGAAGTAAGTATAAGAAACAATATGCTGTTACATAGTGCAAAGAAAGCCCGTATTATATACGGTCTTATATCCGGATCAAAAGGACGAACGATATGTATACAATAGTCTTTTTTCAATTTTGCTTTTTCCGTCTACGGTACATATATTTTATTTAAGTAGCTGGTCGAACCTTGCTAGATCTTAAGTATCTAAAATGTCAACGCACGTAGCTAGAACCTGCTTGTAGACTGCGTACTCCCAAATAGATCGCTAGTAGAAGTCCACAAAGAGTCCAGACAACCACTGTAGCAGTTACAGCATAGCTCACTGCAAAAATACTGCAGTTCTCGTAGTCATAGATCTCGCGTCGCATCTCCTGCTTAAGGTGCTTCTCCTTTATAGCCCACGTGGCTACCATTCCTTGGATCTTGCATAGTTCCTTGTACTGTACCGCCTCTTCAATGCACGACTGCCTGGCCGTCGTCTTCATCAGCAACTCGTCGTCTTCGACATCGTCTTCGGCGTCATCGTCACGCAAAACTCCATTGTCGTCTTCATCGCTCGCCGCTTCAATGCTGTCCACAAATTGAAGCTCGTCCGTATCTGCGTACTCGAGTTCCGAGTCTGGGGAGCCAAAGGGTGATAGAAACTGCAGTTCTTCCGGCTCGTCATTACCCGTCGTGTCAAAAGACTTGCGACGTTTAAATTTCTCTTTCGGACGCGTATGTTTGAGCTCCAAGTGAGAGGCCAGACAGGCTTTGCAGACAACGTCCATGCAATGTTTGCACTTCTTTTTAGAGCCAAATACTTTAAACTTCTTGCCACACTCATTGCAGGAGCTTGGACAGCCCATTTGGTGCCCGTGTTTGAGGATTGCTAAATGACCAATTTTCACAAATATTCAGTCCAATAGTAATACATTATCTTACTTCAAGTAGTATAGTAGGACTACTGTGATTTGATGAAAAGTATTACACTATTGTTACGTAATATTTTCTAGTAGAAATAATAGTCATTGTCGCGAAATTTCTCCTCGCCATCCTCAGCCTCTACTTTCTGTCGGCAACGACTCGATGGCCACTTATGATGTACCAAAAGCAAAGCCTGATGATGACGAGGAATAAATTAGTGACAGAAAACTGCAACGAGATCCGCGCGCGGATCCGTAGGTCCCTGTGACGTGAATACACTTTTACTAAAGATGCAGCGATACTTTCTTCCATCTATCGCAATCGCGAACCTTAAGATGTAAAATAGGGAGCTTTTCATGCGTCATGAGAGGAAGATGAACAAGAAAGAAGCAAAAAGTAATGATAATGAGCACAAATTACAGATCACAACAACCCTGAAAAGGTCGGGAAGACGGAACTGGTGAAGGGCGACAGTTTTGTAAAGGTAGCTCAGTGATGGTGGAAACAAACACTGGACGACATGCGTGAGTGATAAGCATACTTTACATTTTACTTCTCCTTTTCTCTCTCTCCCTTGGAATTATGTGCTGCATCGTATTGCTCTGTGTCTCTTAGACGAGGAAATGATCACCGACAAATTTATGCCAGCGGCTGTTGGGTCAAACGCACTTTTCTTACTTCTTAAGCGCAATCTCATACGTCTGCTCGGCAATGCTGCGCTCCTCGTCAGTGTTGACAACCAATACCTTAATCTTGGTCTTGTCGGCCTGAATTTCGGCAGGGCCAGCGCCCATTGTCGATGCGGCATTCTTCGACTCGTTCAGCTCAATGCCGAGGAAGCCTAAATTGCGGCACACGCGTTCACGGATCGTTGCCGAGTTCTCACCAATGCCGGCTGTGAAGATGACAGCGTCAAGATCACCACCCAGCTCAAGCACATAGGCACCCAAATACTTGCGTACACGGTGGGCAAACACATCCAGCGCCAGAGAAGCACTCGGGTCGTTGCCAGCACGCACGCGGCTGTCAATGACACGGACGTCACTTTCGTCACAGATACCTAGCAACCCGCTCTTCTTGTTCAGCATGGTGTCTACTTCCTGGATAGTTATATTGAGCTCCTTGCACAGGAAGGCGTGCAGGGCCGGGTCAACGTCACCACAGCGTGTGCCCATAACCAGCCCTTCCAGAGGGGTCATGCCCATACTGGTGTCAATACAATAGCCCTTTTTGATCGCAGCAATGCTGGATCCATTGCCCAAATGGCACGTAATAAAGTTGCACTCCGTCATAGGTTTCCCAAGGTAAGCCGCAGCCTTCTTGGCAACAAACTGATGACTCGTGCCGTGGAAACCATAACGACGCACACCAAGGTCTTTGTAGAGCTTATGCGGAACAGCATAAGTAAAGGCTTTGGGTGGCATTGTGGCATGAAAAGCCGTGTCAAAGACCACGACTTGCGGGCACGGACCAAAGACCTCAGTGGCCACCTCAATGCCCAGCAGATTGCCAGGATTGTGAAGTGGTGCTAACTTGACGTTGGATTTAATAGCCTCAATCACTTGCTTGTCTACAAGTGAAGCGTTACTAAAAGCCTCTCCCCCATGCACAACACGGTGACCGACAGCTTTGATACCGTCGAGGTCCGAGTCAAAAAACTCGCTGACCGCCGTCTCAAGTGCCGTACGGTGTGTGTCTAGTGGCAATTCAATCTGTTTCTTCTCACCCGTTGCCAGCGTTTTGTGCATGATGCGGCCTTTTTTGTTGCTTGGTGTGGACAGCTCCACGAGACCTGTAAACACGGCAGCGCCGACGCCATCGGGTTTTAGACCGAATAGCGAGTACTTGAGTGACGAGCTGCCAGCGTTAAGTACAAGCAAGTGTGAGTCTGCCTTGGAGTTCGAGAAAGCGCGTGTCGCTAGTGGCAACTTGGTCGAGAGGGACGAGAGTGGGCGCAACATTACGAAATGAGCAAGAGATCCGCATATGTTGCAAGTTGAGGGAAATCGATTGTATAATTGCTTAAATTGGCTTTTGAGGGTTTTACAATGTGTTTTAATGGTGAAATCAAACGCTAAATGGTAAAATCAAACCTAAAATAATAAACACGCGCTTATTTTTGTTTGTTATACCGAACAAGTCGACTCGGCCTACGTTGGCTCTTCATAGGGCATCAAATGGTAGCGCGTCGACATAGCGATTGTAACGGGGTGAGCTCGTTACATAATATTGACACTTATATGAAGTGTCAATAAAATATTATTATAACTAATAATATTTTGACAATATTACCTTTTCTTATAATATTGTTCCTAGATCTCCTTGAAGTTGGAGATGCCCTCTCATTGGATGATATGGGCCATCATATCAGCCAACGCGCTGACCAATGACCGATGGACGCGCGCAATGAGTGGAGGGCAAGTTGTCGACATACATAGTTGTAGTTTAATATAGTTAACATAGGTTATAACAGATTAGTTTTATTAAGATAGTTAACTATATTAAATACAGTTTTCTTTCCCTCTACTTCTAAGCGTTTGTTTAGAAGTAAAGCTTCCTCTGCCTCTTGTGTAAGAGAGGTAATTGAGGCACCTGCGTTCACTGTAATCAGTGAAAGTAGACTATACTGTAATCAGTATAGTCGGAGGGTGGCCCATTACACCTGGTAGCACTTCGTGGTCCGTTCAGCGACCACCGCACCACCCGCTATGGAATCAGCGGGTGATGAACGTCATCACTCAACGCGTGATGATTTCCGCCATTTGAGTGACCTCGAATGGAATGCGGTTCAGCGTATGGCTGAAACCATCGGCAACCCTGCCGTTGGTGCCATGTTGCTCTCTCTTAGCGGAGACGACCAACATGCAACCATCGCCAAGTTCATACAACATGAACTTGACGAAGTTGTAAAGAAACTCACCTTGCTACAGGAGCAAGGTTCTCAACAGGTTGACCTGTTGAGAGAACAAGGCGCTCAACAAGCTGACTTGTTGATGCAGCAGGGTGCTCAACAGTCCGAACTGTTGAGACAACAGCAGGCTAGTGCTGTTGCTGCCGTATACGTCAACCCGAGTCCTTGAAGATTGATGTCTTCAAGTACAAGGCAGTCGAAAGAGACTCCTTGTTGAGATGGTTCGTCGAGCTCGACGATGCCATTGAGGCTCGTCGCATCGATGACGATGCGATGAAGGTCAAGTTTGCCATATCGAACTTGGCAGGACGTGTCAAAGCTTGGGCGTTAGGGCTCAAACTGCATGACCCATACGTTTTCTCAACGTATGATGTCTTCGCGCGGCTCAAACACACGTTTGAACCGCCTCGCGCCGAATTTAGGGCTCGGGCTGAGCTCCTGAATTTGAAACAGGGTAAGCGTGATATACACGCTTACGCCCAACACGTACGATACCTCGTTAGTTGTATTGTGCTGAACCCAATCGATGAACACACGCAGGTTACTGTGTTCATCAAGGGTCTGACAGATGGTCCTGTTAAGACCCACCTGTTCCGCTTGGAGCTAGAATCGCTGGACCAAGCGATCTCTTCAGCGGGACAGGAGGACTGTAGCCTACAACAGGCTCACGTCCACTCGGGGTCCTATCGTCCACCGAGACGACAGGAGGGCGGAGGTCCAGAACCAATTAACCTCTCCTATGTAGAGAGCGAGCAACCTCGCTCTCCAGGGTACAAGCGATTGCAAAAGTGCAATCGCTGTCAGAAGTTGGGCCACTACGCTTATGAGTGTAGTGCTCCACGCCCAGTGTCTCGTAACACTGAGAGTGACGATCGACCGTCTGCCAAGAAGGGCCAGAGACGTGGGTCCCACGTTGCTGCGAAATCGCAACAACGTGGTGGACCATCAAAAAACGGTCGGGGTCAGTAGGGGCGGAGCGCCCTACTGATCCAGCAACGTCAAGAGAGTTCGCGGGACTCTTGACGAAGGTTGCTCCCAACACACAGTCACTGTGTGTTGCCGCTCCCAGTGATGAGGTATCCCTCATCACATTGAAGATCGAAGTGACAAATAACATGTCACTTCGCGCCCTAGTTGATTGTGGGGCTTCGAACAATTTTGTTCGACGCCAATCGCTAGATGATCGTAGGCTCAAATATGTTGAGCGCGAGACCCCTCCAACGAGGATGACGGTGCGCCTTGCAACTGGCGCATCCGTAACAGTAAAGAAACGTGTAGTGGGAATTCACTACACGCTTGAAGGCAAAAAGTACGATGATGATTTCATCGTACTTGATCTGGATGACAAATTTGATGTCATCCTAGGATTACCATGGCTCAGAAGGTACGAGCCATGGGTCAGCTGGCAGCATCGAACCGTGAAGATGCCTGCCGCTTGTTCATCAGATGGCCATCTGATGAATGTCTTGGAGCGTTCACAAGCGTGTGAATGTACTACGAGTGAGTGTGATGGCCTCACTTTTGGTTCGGTCGTTAGTACGACTGCACAAGAACTCAGCGTGACAGACAGTCACGCTGTGGAGCAAGCTGCCGGCGGCTGTGCACAAGCACAGGCAGCGCCGAAGGTCCATAAGTCGAGTGGATCGGGACATGAATGCTCGCCTAAAGGGCAGCATTCACCGAAGAGTAAACCGGTTGCCCAGAAGCGGCAACACGGTAATCCTAGATCAACTGGAGAGTTGATCGTAGAGGATCTCGCTGTGGTTGCGCCACCACAGCTAGAGGAAGTCGATGGAACAGGTTCCATCGAGCCTGCGGGAATAAGTCCCCAGGAAATAATCACTGAGGGAATAAGTCTCCAGTGCCCTGAGGGAATAAGTCCCCAGGAATTAACCGAGACGTTGAACGTCTTGGTTAATGACGGATCAAACGTAGGCGCTTATACGCTTGATCTGATCGCGCCTCCGAAGTTAACTTCGGAGATAACTCAGTTGCCTACGCTAGAACCTAAAAGGTTCTTGCGTGATCTGCGTAGTGGCAAAGTCAAGCAGATCTGTGTGCTCGTCGCAGAGGACGAGTACATGACTGACATTCGGTCAGCAACAGTTTTTGCCGAGAACGAACGGGTTCTCAGCAGCTCATCAATGGACGAGAGTGTCCTTGATGAGAAGACTCGGATTGAGCGATATACATCGCAATCCTGGGAGTCGCTGAAGTCAAATTCTTTGTATAAGGATTTGGTCGAATTCAAGGATGTATTCCCTGAATCCGTTCCGTGCGAGTTACCTAAGGATAAAGGTACTCGACACGAGATCGACCTTGTTCTTGGCACAAAATATTGTGTCATGAAGCAGTGGCCACTGCCTCGGGAACAGGTCGAGGCGATCGACAAGTTCTTTGCCGATCGCCTAGCAGCGAGCCATGTGAGGGAGTCAACTTCACCTCACAGCTCTCCGACCTTCTGTGTGCGCAAGGCCACAGGAGGGTGGCGGATAGTGCACGCGTTCAACAAGTTGAACGCTGCAACGATACCGGCGTAAACGCCGATACCGAGAAAGGACGTAATCATAGATGGTATGTCTAAGAGTACCATCTTTTCGTCCATGGATCTGATGGATGGTTTCTATCAGATCCTAATGCGTGAACGGAACATCCCGTACACAGCAGTGAGCACTCCCAGTGGTATGCTCTGGGAATGGTTGGTCATGCCGCAAGGGCTTAGTAATGCACCAGCCATATTCAATAGATGTGTTTCACATCTATTGAGACCGGTGCGCGAATTCGCACCGAGATACTTCGATGATGTATTCGTCCATAGTCGGGCTATGGACGAGAAAACAGACGTGGAAGTCCATAGACTCCATGTCCGTAAGGTTCTTACACTTATGCGCGAGCATAAGTTGTACGTCAACCTCAAGAAGTGTATATTCGCAGCTAGTGAAATACCACTTCTTGGGTGCATCGTCGGAAAGAACGGCGTACGCCCTGATCCAGAGAAGATCAAGGCGATCACCGACTGGACAGTGCCAGTCGATGTCAAGGGACTAAGGAAGTTCCTTGGGCTAGCGGCGTACTTGCACAAGTACTCGCGCAATTACGCCAAAATGACAGTACATCTTTCTTGTTTACTCAAGAAAAATGTAAAGTGGAACTGGAACGCTGACTGTCAGCGTTCCTTTGAACGTATCAAGCAAAGCTTGATGCAATCGCCAGTGTTGGCGATTGCCGATCAAGACAGACCATTTCATGTGGTCTGTGACGCCAGTGATTTTGCAATCGGCTGCGCACTGATGCAATATGATACAGACGGCGCAGAGCGTGTCGTCTGTTATCAATCGCGTCAGCTGCAACCGGCCGAGAGCAATTACCCGGTGCATGACAAGGAACTCCTTGCCATGAAGTATGCACTGGCTAAGTTTCGCGCCTATCTCTTAGGAGATAGACCGTTCATTGTATATACAGACCATGCGTCACTACGCACGGCGGTAAATAGTCCACACCTCTCGCAACGAATGGCGAGATGGATGTCATTCTTCGCGGAGTACAACTTCTCCGTGGAGTATAAGCCGGGACGACTTAACGTCGTCGCCGATGCTCTCTCACGTCGGCCTGACCTAGAGCCGACTGTGCAATCCGACAGTGATGTGAACACCACTGTCGCCACGCTGAGTACCAGCGTCTTGTCGTCGAGCTTACTCGACGACATTAGAAGGGCATGCGCACAAGATAATGATCTTGTACGCCTGATGGAGTACCTCAAGGACCCATCCACGCAAGCTAAGAAGCGCTTGCCTGCCATGTATCGATCTTCTCTAGATCGATACACCCAGCGGGACGGCTTACTGTACTACACAGCCGTCAACAACGACACGCCTCGTGTCGTTGTACCGCCACAACATGATCTCAGGTTACGGATCATGTTTGAATGTCACGATGCACCAATAAGTGGGCATCGCGTCCGTGAGAAGACCTACCTCACGGTCAGTCGCGACTTTTACTGGCCACGCCAGTATAAGTTTGTGCAAGTACGTGCGTGCTTGCGAGGTGTGT